TTTTGCACCTGTCCAACTCACAGTTTTAGACTGATTTCCTTCAAACTTTCAGGATGTGCTAAGTTTACATAGTTTTATAACATATAGTTCGGGTTTTTTAGGTCACTGACCTGAGGTCAGTTAGAGGTCATTACGTCGTAATGTTAAGCCTATGGGAAAATACTAAATTCGGAAAATACTGGAGATATCCGCTTCGTTCTATCACTTTTGTGCTTTCAAACCACAGTACTTAACAGCTGAGGTCACTTGGTGCTTCTTTGTTTGGTGTACTTATCCATGGGTCAGGTCAAATGAGGTCAACTGAGGTCAAATGACGTTTTTGCCAATAACTTGGCACATAATGACGCTAGAGCTTAAAAAATGGTATCATTGTGTTCCTGGTGATCAGCCGAATCGAATGATATGCGATATGATGCAATTTGGTTAACTTGAACTTAATTTATTTATTTAAGTTTACTTAAAATTTAAGAAAAACTTCAAGTACACTTAAGCAAGCTAAAAAGTATATCATTCGACGCGCCTTGACGTGCTGAGTTCACTGATGCTTTTCTTTTTGCTCTATCTTAATTGGATCAAAAGTTATAAGCGAAAAACTTTTGACCTGTTTTTAGCGAAATTTTTACATTTATACCCCCCAAAACCCCCCTAAATATTGACCAAGAGCAACCAAATTTGCACAGGGGCGAGAACTCCAGGGGGCCCACCTACCTACCAAATTTGGTGTTTCTAGGTGCCATAGGAGCCAATCGCGAGGGGGGGGGGGGTCGCATCGACCCCCCCCCCCTGCCAGGCCGTGTTATGAAAAATGCCCTGCCAGGGCGAGGGTTAAGGCAGCTTTTGAAAGAACTAAGGTCCGGTTCATGAAACCAAGGCACAGGTCCAGCAGTGTGGTAGTGCGATGCTCTTGGCGAATGACACTGTGAGCTGTTTCATTATCTGATCTTATCTCCGCTCCCTCTGTTTGCCCGCAGGCGGAGGTGGGGCTCCTTCAGGTCCAGTCCGGGGCGCGGATCGACCTACAGAACGAGGCGGAGCGCTCGCCGCTGCAGATGGCGCCACCGGGGCTGGCGAGCGACCTCCAGCAGCTGGCGCTCACACCGCTGGCACAGATGGCAGCATCGTCGACCGGTCGGCGACACCCGCCCGTTTCGAACCGTCTGCACGCTGTCTCTTCAATTACCTGTCTCTTATCTTTGATCTCTCCTCTTGTCTGACCTGTGTGCATTTAAACGTTCAATATGAAACGATTGTTATCCGTTCTTGCCTTCTTCACTTCTCAGGATCGATCCATTGGTATCCTCACTCAGGTGCACCACCTTTTCTTGTCTGGCAGTCTCCCCCTCTGACCAACCGTTGGTGAGGGTAGGTCCTCGTTGGACTACACTCTCTCTAGTAACCGTTTGAGCGACGGGGCGGGGGTGGGGGTCCCGTAGGGCCATTCCCGTCCCATCGGGCGGCGGCGCAACGTCGCACAGTCCAGAGCCTTCCTCCAGTGTTAGATATCATTCCATAGCTCTGCGATGGTCGTGGTTAATTGCAATGGCCAGTGATTCTGCCGCTCCGAGACATGCATGTGTATTGTGTACCTGCTGCCCCAATCTTTCCTGTGTCCATCTATTTGTTGTCCACCATAGCATCGTGGAGGGATAGGTATGATTCGAAGCTAGAGGTCGACCTTGTTTCGCCAATTCCGACTCCGTTATGGCTGATGTAACTAACTTGATTCATCATGAGAATATGACAGATTGGTGTGCTATCTGGTCGGGCGTCAGCCATAGTTTGTGCATTATTTGTTCTACATTTGTCGAGAGGTCGGTGGTACCGGCTTCCGATTATGATAACTCGGACCACTTCGATGATATCGTAATGCGGAATGCCGCGACACGTGCGGACTTTGTGCGCGACTTATCCGTTATGGGGCGCGGTATCTCATGACTTTGTCCCCTGCAGAACTGCGTTGTTGTTGCATTTTTATATCATGCAGAGCCGCGTTAATTTGGGAGATTCAGTAGATCGATTGTCTCGAACATCTAGCTAGTAGTGACTAGTGAGGAGTTATTCTGCGTTTATTGTCTTCTTGTGGACCGTGGCTTGAACACACGGACATTTTCCTTTGGATTGTAACTGAGGGGACGTGGGAACAACTGTCACGTGTGGCCATTCCCATCTGTCCCGTCTGTGATTACCGCCGTCTTGTTTGTGCCTGGATCATCGATTCGGACGATTCAGGGGTCGTCGCTTGTGGTTCCTCACGTCTCGACAGATCACTCGTGTCCGTAGTTTATTTTATTTCGCGTGTGTTACTGCGAATTATACGAAGTTCGAGCTTCCTATCGATAGAGCAATAAGTCCGTTCGCAAGAACAATGTTGTTCCCTGATGCGCTGATGTGACCCGTTCCCCAGCGCTGATGTGTCCCGTTCGGCGTTCCCGTTCCCGAATGCGCTAATGTATCGCGTTTCCGAACGCGCTAATACGTCCAGTTTCTTAGTGCGCTGTGCCCCGTTTCCGTTCCCCAATGTTTCCCGTTCTCTAAAGCGTTGCATACCGTTCTCTAATGCACTTATGTGTCCCGTTCTCGCACGTGCTTATGTGGCTCGTTTCATAAAACGCTGTCCCGTTCGGAAGCATGTTCAATGTTCATATGTCTACGATGTGTGTAAGGTCTGTGAGATTAGGTAGGGGAGAGTGGGGCTAGTTGTTACAAGGGTAAGTTGTTACAAAGGAAATATCTTTAAAAATACTCTTGATATGGCGCCAATATTTACGCTAACAGAAAGGTTACGCACATTTTACATGTCACTGCAGGCTCAGACCTGGTGGAACGCCATGTCACCCTGTAGGCGCACTGGGGTAAGTTGTGACAGCAAAAGTATTTTTTGCTGGCCAACACTTTGGATCGTTTTTTGTCAAGGTTATTTGTGTAAGAATGTTGAATGTATGTTCACAAAATTAAGCGATGATTTCTTTTGTAAGATCACCAAGTAAAACGCACTAGCCACTTCATGTTAACAAACATTTGAGTTCAGTCTTGTGAAAGTCGGCCGCCGCAGGGCCGCGGGGCATGTTTAAAGATGGCTATCCAAGACTGCTTATAGCGTGCTCCATTTCACCTGGGCGTAAATTTCGTGCAGAAAATCAAACTCCGGTCAGTATGGCAATGCATGGTGCCCTTGGCGTCGCTGTAAAGGCAAATCAGAGATTGAGCCATGTTTGATGAGCCTTTTCATGCGTGTGGAGTACAGTAATGGTTTATGCTTTATTGTTCTTGCCTTTCAATGAGAAAGGAAAGCATGTTTAGTATTATCCATTAGGGAGGCTTATGATCGGTTCCGATAGGACGGCCAATGACCGTTATAATGATGAAGAAACTACGAAAAAAGAAGTGTAACATGTAACCCCATATCGTGTATCAAGTTGCCCCACAATTTTTCAACTTACCCCAAAAATCTTGCTTTGGTTTTCTGAATTTCACATAAAAGTGAATAGTCGTAAAGAAGTGAAAGTTTGCATGTGCTTTCCAAATTGATTCAGCTAGCATGTGACCAAAATTGGTGCAATTTCATTGAATAGCTTGGCCACTAAGTGCAGAAGACCAAAAAGTGTAACGCATAGCCCCAGTCTCCCCTACATATGCCGGTTTGGAGGTTGTTTTTCAGTGTCCCAGTGAATAAAATGTGATTGGACAATCGTTCTCTGCAGTTTGGCGCAATTGGGGAACATTCAGAAGGGTTGGGACGTTCAAAAGTGACGTAGTTATGTCAAAGAAGAGGTCAGGTGGTTTGAACGAATAGTAATTAGCAGCACTTAGACACAGAATCCAACGATGTCTGGCCCATTCAAACGCGTGCACACACAACCTAGGAATAGCAAACGCTCGGCTGCATCCAAATCTTACATTCAATTCCAGGCCACAGCCAGCATTCGCCGTGGTCGAAAGTGGGCGGAGCCTAAATGGCCCCTAAACTGAGATCGGTATAACACACTTCCAGGTGCCCCAACGGGTTTACCCTGGTAGCCGAGTGGATAGCGTGACGTCAGCGTGCATTTTAGACTTTCGAAGGTTTTGGGTTCGAGCCCCGGAAACGCCCCTGATTACGGTAAATTTTCCGTCCTAAACGGGCCTCGAACCCAAAACCTTCGAAAGTCTAAAATGCACGCTGACGTCACGCTATCCACTCGGCTACCAGGGTAAACCCGTTGGGGCACCTGGAAGCGCATTATGCCGATCTCTGATTAGGGCCGTTTAGGCCCCGCCCACTATTCTCTGTCGTCAGCCCAGCCTGTGTGACGTCACATCCACTGCTGCCTTCAAGTGTTTGGCTCTGTGCGTTGGTCTCTCAGTCTCCCGAACCGCCCATGCCACGCTTATTCTCACGTGACATGCAGAACGTTCCCATTCGAAGACTTGTCCAACCGCCCCACTTTGCGTCGTACTCGGATCATGCCGATCAACCAAATATTCTAGAGTGTTGTTCCTTGAGTAAGGGATGTTCACACGGGCAATGCGACCGACGACTCTTGCAACGAGGGGATGTGTGGGGAAAGGGGGGGGGGAGTGACCAGGCCACGAGGACAAGTGCTGCCTCGCCTGGTGGCGGGCGGGGAGGCAATCGGCCCCTGGCAGCTAGACCGGCCCGCCGAACCGATTGACCCCGGGATGACCAGTGATGGCCGCGGGCGGTGACAGCCGCCAATCTGGGCCGTCTGGAAGCGAGTGGAGATCGGTAAGGGGGTGGGGACGCTAGGGCAGGGGTAGGGGAGGGATTAGCGAGTGAAAAACAGCGGCAGGGCCGCGGAGCCGTACTGGGGACAGACCACTGCGAGCCACGCAAGGATGGCTATCGAACACACAGGAGAACGGAGAAACGGGTGATTTTTGAGGAATTTGGACCACAACGTGTCAAACAAAAACGACAAAACCGTGTTAAGTGTGTAACAGAGAAGTGACGTCATCAAAAACAAATATCGGCATTTCGAAAACCGCATACAAAAATCATATACACATAGAGCTGTTGTATTGACTACATCACATAGGCGTTGGCTGGCGTCTCTTCCAGTTCAGCATTCAGCATTGGTGCAACCACGACACATCGCAAGTCGAAAAATCGGGACAAAATATCGGACATAATGGGGCCCATATAGCTGCTTCAGAACATATTCAATCGCAACACAAAGCCAAATGACAACAAAGGAACATACATATTCCATCAATATGACGAAACTATACGCTGTGCGACTCATTAGCTTAGTGAATATTTTTTTAACGTTTTTTCTTCATTTTTACAAAACCGTTTTGCCGTTCATCATTAGCGATAGCATGCATATTTGAAGCGGACCAACGGGCTATCCTACGACAATTTAGGTGCCCAGCAATTAAATCGGACTTGTTCACGTGCTCTTTCATGTACTATGCTTCGCACTAGCCGTAGTGCCTACATGTCTTACCAGAGGAATGCCTAGATTATCACTGAAACACAGGGCGATAAATAAATATACGTGCAAAGACGCAATGACTAGGGTGCAACCGGCGGCTCCAAAAACAATCACCGATCAAGGGTTACAGTATCATAGGTGTCACAACGAAAACCGTCCTCCGCGCTAATAATACTGAACAAGCTCATGGAAATTAACGTAGGGAATCCATACTGGCCTGATTTTTGTTAAATTTAAATACACACTGCGTAGCGAAAGATCATCGATAATCACCGTTATACATGATCAAAGCATTCATATTCCTAAAAAGATCACATCATAGCGCGAGAGATGGTTAAGTAGCTGTGAGAGTTTGTCTGAAGGACGTACTACTCGCATAACGCACGTGCAAAAACGATACATGATAGTTATGCCGCAAACATAGCATATCGAAACCAGCATAGCTGACTTGCGGCGATCAGAAATAGCATAAAAGTACAAAACAGCATGATATTCGCTTACTAACACAAAACCAAAGGAGATTATACCCTCGACAACACATGTCTTAGGGCGTGAATAAGCCAGGGTTGGAAATGACTGACTACGTCAATATACAAGTTCAGCCAGTTTCGCGGATACATTTCGCGCATCGACTGGGATACATGCCTACGAACTGGTCTCAGCGATTAGGCAAGCTCAGGGCAGCTTAGGCAGCTTATGACTAGCAACATCAAGCCTAGCGTTTGCCCAGTGGCTAGCGGCAAAGCGGAATGTCAGCATGACAGCTGGCCTGTAACATACACGTGAAAGTCCACTCTTCTGCCTTAGCTGGCTGGAAACATGCACCGTAACTTTGAGAGACCTTCCCGTGGACTCTATTCCACTTTCCTGTATCGTTTCGTTTTCAATTTCTCGGTGCTACGCACCTCTACCCTTCAGCCTTTGGGAATGTTTTGATTTTCCCTTCTCTGTCTGTCGACAGCGAGAGCTCCCTGCCATCTATCGGCCACTCACACAACTACAGACAGAAGCGGGGGAAACTGGCGTTGACAAACACATACAGATAGCCGACTGGATACGGTACACGTCACACACAACAGCGCAGTATGGCACATAGCTGGACGCCACTCTAGCGACTAGAGCTATACGATATACACTACAATGTCCAATCAGCACAGAAACTCGGCTCTACAGTCCACTAAAAACGATAAACCAGGAGATTTTCCTTGTCATTCCTCCAATAGCTGCCCTTCTCGTGGCTCAGAACCACGAGAAGCGGGTAACTCTTACCGTCACATTAAAGTCAATCGTGATTGGCTGCTGAGAGTATCCCAGGCTCCCCATTGGCTGTCGGCGAGGTCATGGCGGCCACAGCTGGAGCTGATTGGTCGCCGTCAGCTGTTGCGCGTCGCTGATTGGTGGACGCGGGCCCATCGAGCGCGCTGATTGGTGGACGCCGGCCCAGCGAGCGCGCTGATTGGTGGACGCCCGCCCACCGAGCGCGCTGATTGGTGGACGCCGACCCACCGAGCGCGCTGATTGGTTAGTGCGGCCGGAGGAGGTCGAAGCAGCGCTGGCAGACACGAACCGGCTTCAGGATCCTCAGACGAATGATTTCCGACTCGTGGTGACTGCATCCGCGGGCAGGTCAAGGGCAAAGGTCAGAGGTTAAGGTCGACGTGTCAGGCCAACATTTGTCGAAGAGTGTACTTTTCGAGAAGTAATCATATATCTGTATTACGATAAAGCTTTTCAATTGAACGTGACAGCAAGCTGTTTTAATAAAACATACAACACATCGAAAAGACACCGACAAATTGGATGAACGTTACATGACGGGACAAACATGCGATACAACACGTGTGCGAAAAGGAACCACAGGAAAAGCCAAGCTAATGAAAAGCAAATTATGAACAATAAAAAGCAGATGAAATCCCAAATCACCTCTTAGGAAGCCAACGCAGACTAGACTAACAAAGTAGCTACAATCTACATGTCGTAAGGTACAGTGTGTCTCATGTTAGCAATGGGGGGGGGGGGGATATGACCGATTAAAAGTTAAAACATGACGAGTAGCTGTTTGCTATACTCATACAAGGGCGTGGCGTAGTCAAGACGTATATAAAGACAAAGTGCTATAAATGCGTAGTGGTTGAGAAGTTACAATTTCAATTTGTTTGGGTATACCACTATTTTGTATACTGGTGGGATTATATCATGTGACAACATCATATATGTAACACCTTAGCCCGCTAAAGTCATCCTTAACCCCCTCCCCGAAAGCCCCCCCCCCTTCCGCTGTCGGCCTACTTGGCACAGAAGACGTCTCCGCAGTTTCGGCAGTGGTGTTTTCTCTCGGTCACAGAGAACCGGACGCCGCAGAGCGCGCACGCCAGGGCCGAGTCGTCCCGGCGCCAGTGGTCGGAGGGACCTGGGTGACCCCGCGACGGGACACCACACAACGGGGGACAGTTATTGGAGCAGAGTTATTGGCGGCGGAGAGTTGTTGGAGCGGAGTTCTTCACGGCGCAGAGTTACTGGTGCGGAGTTATAGGCGGCAGATAGTTATTGGAGCGGAATTATTCACGGCGGAGAGTTAGTTTAAAGGAGTTACCAACCAGTTATTAGAGTAGAGGTATCCACCGGCGGGGTTATTGGAGTGGAGTTGTTGGAGTGGAGCTATTCGCGTTGGAGAGCTATTTACTCCGGGACGGGACACCACACAACGGGGGACAGTTACTGGAACGGAGTTATTAGCGGCGGAGAGTTATTGGAGCGGAGTTATTGGCGGCAGATAGTTATTGGAGTAGAGTTATTCACAGAGATGCTACTGGATGGGAGTTATTGACGACGGAGTTATTGGAGTGAAGTTATTGGAGCGGAGTTATTGGCGACGCTTAACTATTGGAACGGAGTTATTGGCGGCGGAGCTAATGGAGTGGAGTTCTTCACGGGGAAGTTATTGGAGTGGAGTTATAGAGTAGAGTTATTCACGGTGTAGAGTTATTGGGGTGGTGTTGTTGGCGACAGAGCTACTGGAATGGAGTTATTCACGGTGGAGAGTTAATGGAATGCAGCTATGAACGGCGGGAAGTTATTTGAGCGGAGCTTTTTACGGTGGGTGTTTGGAAAGGAGTTATTAAGTGCGGAGTTACTCGAGCAGAGTTGTTGGAGTGAAGTTCTTCGCGATGGAGAATTAGAGGCGAGTTATCCACGGTGGAGTTTTTGAGATTCACACTATTGAGATTTGAAATACAAGGACTGGGAGGAGGTGAAGGCATGGTAGGGTTGGTTGAGATGTTGTACGGAAATATACAAGTGACGTCTTAAAATCCCCAGTCTAAGACTCGACATTTTCCTGATTTTTAAGAGCAGCACGGCTGAAAAATTAATCAGCGTAAACTACCCGAAAACGAAACGTATAATAAGCATAAGAGCCCATAATCACATGCAAACGAAACGTCGACCATCATTGAAATATAAAGCAGCAGCTAAAACGTAACAAACGTTACAGCCAACCATTCAGAAACATTAGAAGCCTGAGAAGCGACGACATTCCGAACGCAACACCCAAACTAGACATGACAGAACGGATGAAACGTCACAGACGGGCACCATTGACAAATTGTGGGAGGCAAAATTCCGGGTGGAATCACAAGAAAAACACACAAACAATATCAGACTAGAGCTACAGCCACGATTTTCACTACAATACATCAGCCAATGACCAGAAGGTCTCTAACGAAAGGAGCGGCAGGACGGTGTTTAACTCAGCTGGTGGGTTGAGTCAGTGTGTGAGTCGGTGTGAGTCAGAGTCGGACTCACCTGTCGAGTCGGAGACGCTCCAGGCCCAGACTCTGCCGCGGGAGTCGCCCACATAGACAGTCCGATGGTCCCTGAGGGGGAGAGAAAAAGGGGAGGGGAGGGGAGGTCACGAGCTGATTCAACCGTGTTTGAAGTAATAAACCGCATTCAGTGATATTTTAATGAAAAGGCAGTAGCACAAATAAAATATGAACTTAGCTGTTCGCGAAACAGCAACAGCTTGTGTTACCAGCAAAATCACACCCCAAAACCCACATCATTACAAAGAAAGCTAACGTAAATCACAGCAACATCACAAGTTGCATAATCACATACCTTTCTTTACGTCCCTCCCCTGCAACCTTGCCAACAAACATCCCACACCGGGCGCCCGTGCCTCCATCACTCGTGCACCTCCATTAGGGAGTACCACCACTTACTTGGACACGGCCAGGGCCGTTACACTGGCTGGTTCGGCGTTATCCCGGCGGTCATAAGCGGTGTGCATAGTCAGTTTACTGCGGAACACTAGCTGACACTGCCAGCGGAACCCTGAGAGAACAGAGACAGACACTGGGGTCAGTTTACTACGGAACCTGACACTGCCAACGGAACCCTGACAGAACAGAGACAGACAGGGGTCAGTTTACTGCGGAACCCTGACAGAACAGAGACAGACAGGGATCAGTTTACTGCGGAACCCTGAGAGAACAGAGACAGACAGGGGTCAGTTTACTGCGGAACCCTGACAGAACAGAGACAGACAGGGGTCAGTTTACTGCGGAACCCTGACAGTAACAGAGACAGACAGGGGTCAGTTTACTGCGATACCCTGACAGAACAGAGACAGACAGCGGTCAGTTTACTGCGGAACCCTGAGAGAACAGAGACAGACACTGGGGTCAGTTTACTACGGAACACTAGCTGACACTGCCAGCGGAACCCTGAGAGAACAGAGACAGACACTGGGGTCAGTTTACTGCGGAACACTAGCTGACACTGCCAGCGGAACCCTGAGAGAACAGAGACAGACAGGGGTCAGTTTACTGCGGAACCCGACACTGCCAGCGGAACCCTGACAGAACAGAGACAGACAGGGGTCAGTTTACTGCGGAACCCTGACAGAACAGAGACAGACAGGGATCAGTTTACTGCGGAACCCTGAGAGAACAGAGACAGACAGGGGTCAGTTTACTGCGGAACCCTGACAGAACAGAGACAGACAGGGGTCAGTTTACTGCGGAACCCTGACAGTAACAGAGACAGACAGGGGTCAGTTTACTGCGATACCCTGACAGAACAGAGACAGACAGCGGTCAGTTTACTGCGGAACCCTGAGAGAACAGAGACAGACACTGGGGTCAGTTTACTACGGAACACTAGCTGACACTGCCAGCGGAACCCTGAGAGAACAGAGACAGACACTGGGGTCAGTTTACTGCGGAACACTAGCTGACACTGCCAGCGGAACCCTGAGAGAACAGAGACAGACACTGGGGTCAGTTTACTGCGGAACCCGACACTGCCAGCGGAACCCTGACAGAACAGAGACAGACAGGGGTCAGTTTACTGCGGAACACGAGCTGAAACTGCCAGCGGAACCCTGACAGAACAGAGACAGACACTGGGGTCAGTTTACTACGGAACACTAGCTGACACTGCCAGCGGAACCCTGAGAGAACAGAGACAGACACTGGGGTCAGTTTACTACGGAACACTAGCTGACACTGCCAGCGGAACCCTGAGAGAACAGAGACAGACAGGGGTCAGTTTACTGCGGAACCCGACACTGCCAGCGGAACCCTGACAGAACAGAGACAGACAGGGGTCAGTTTACTGCGGAACCCTGACAGAACAGAGACAGACAGGGATCAGTTTACTGCGGAACCCTGACAGAACAGAGACAGACAGGGGTCAGTTTACTGCGGAACCCTGAGAGAACAGAGACAGACAGGGGTCAGTTTACTGCGGAACCTGACACTGCCAGCGGAACCCTGGCAGAACACAGACAGGGGTCAGTTTACTGCGGAACCCTGACAGAACAGAGATGAACGGTATAAGAATGACCGTTAGTTGAAACGAGCGCAGATGCGCCATGAAAAACAATCGACTACGATTGACAGAACACAAATATCAGCACCCATACCATCAATTTAGATCCTGAACGGAAAGCAAGCATCAGTACCCTGATCAGTAGGACAGGTACCCGTAACATCAGCAGAGTAACTAGCACCACACAACTCAATGTGCGTCCGCTACACTGGTATTTGTATTCTGCACTGGAAAATTGAAGAGTAATTGCGACTTCCATTGGCAATTGAATCCACATTGAATCGTTACCGTTCTAAACCCTCCCTTCCTCACCCTCTCCCGCCCCACTCACCCTCTCTGAGCAGTTTCCTTTTCTCTCTGTCTGCTCCGGGAGCCAGGTCTGCGGCCGTCACCACCACAAAGCCCTGCTCGGCGGCGGCCAGGTTCGTGTCGCTCCGGCTGCCCCGGAGCTCCCCTCCGGGTCCGGCGGTGACGCCCGGGGGCATCAGACGGTCACCAGTCGACTTGCGCGCCTCCTGGGTGTTGTGCTCAGACTTCTGACGACGCACCACCTGACGAAGCGTTGGAAAGTCCAGGGTGTTAGATATATGGCTATTAGGAGAAACATATGCAAGTCATTATAAAACAAAAAGAGTATGCAGTATACACGTCAAGAAAAAGAAAGCGCTTACAGAGAAGAGAGAGAAGATGCATGGACAGAGGAGACGAGACAATTAGAGAAAGATACCGGCCGGGAAGAGAGAAAGGGACAGGGAGAGATAGGTATTTGTCAATATTGGGGCACAATAATCACAATCAATGTTCAAGAAAAGTCACCAAATTTCACGTCCTGACTTATTTAGCTCTTATTTCCGCACATAATATAAAAATTACCCGGAAAGCCGTATAATAACTCCTCCTAACCGTCTGATAACTGTTCCCGCCCCTTACCGTTTGTTCGGGAGCCGTCTCCAGACTGTGCGCCTTGCCGGCCGCCAGCGCCTGTCCCTTTGTCTGTCCCTGTGACTGTGACTGTGACTGCGACTGGGCTGAGGGCGGGTGCTGGGACGACGGCCCGGGAGACTGGTCCGCCTCCTCGCAGGAGCTGACACTGGCCAGCGCCTCCAGGGCGGCGCTCAGCTGGACCTGCCGAACACGAGGTAGGGGGTAGAGATACAGGGACAAACGGTAGACAGGGGAGACAGGTGCAAGGAAAACAAATAGGCAGAACAGAGACAAGGAAGATAACAAGACCGACCTCAGCTCGTCATTGGTAAATGGTAAGCGACGGCAGGAGCTCAGTGGTAGGTGCGACTCTAAAAAAGACATATTACGGAAAATGAGACGCATAAAAAATCGGCCTATTACTTCAGGGACGACTCCAGAGACGAAAAAAGCGTCAGAGAAAACACAACAGGTACAAGTCAGGAAATAACTAAGAAATATCAATGGACGGTTAACGTAAAGCATGACACCCAGATCATCCCAGCCAACACTTCACTCCACAATATAAAAAAACGTGACACTCTCTCCCCCATTCCACCCACCCCACGACTCTCAATCCTCCCCTCTCCGTACCGTATGCGCGCCACCGGAGGCCCCAGAGACGGCCTGCTGTCTCCTCAGCATGGACGGTCGACGGGAGGACCTTTTGGAGGCGGATCCGCCGGTACCACACGAGCGGATGTCGTCCTCTGAGCCCTCACCACCCTCAGAGAGACTGGATTCCGAGCCGGAACGGAGCAGCACTGCGGGAGTTGGAGGGGGAGTTAGAGTTGGGCGGGGTACTGGAGAGTTGGGGAGGGGAGTTGGAGCTAGAAGTGGCGGGACTGAGAGAGTTGGTGAGGGGAGGTAGAGTTGAGCGAGTTACTGGAGAGCTGGGGAAGTGGAGTTAGAGTTGGAGCGGGGTACTACGAGAGTTAGAGAGATGGAGTTCGAGTGGGAGGCGGCGACACTGGAGAGTGAGATAGGGATTAAGACTTAGAGATGGTGGGAGATAGAAAGGTGGATTTGAGACGATCGGCACTGAGGAGTTAGAGAGGAATAGACAAAGTTCGATACAGCAGAAAGTTGGACTGGGAGTTAGAGACACTGCCGAGTCAAAGTTGAAGTTAAAAAAGTTGTCAAGCCTGTCATGTCTCAGTCACCATTGGAATCGGACTTGAACAAGCAGATGATGTGATACTCCTCCATCAGTGCTCAACAGCCGGAGTCAGAGTCAGTGAATGACTCGGGATGAAGGATGAAGGGAGGATGACGGAATGAAAGAATGAAGGGCTTGGAATGGAAAAGGAGACGTCAAATGGATTGCCATTGACAAAAGCTGCACAATCGTCTTCATTACAAAACAACCGTAGCATACGCTTCACATTTGTCACTAAAAGCATCGCACTATTGATATAGTTCACGCTTGATATTGACTTTAACCCGAGCGTACAACTACAACACTTCGACAGTTCCAAGTAAGAACATCTTAAGTGTCAAATTTTCGAAATCGACATTTTATACCATTTCGGCTGGGAACTGTCGACTTGTTAAATTTCTGAAGTATCATACAGAACGTATGCCATTACGGAAAATAGGATGGTGAGCCCCAGCATTACACAATCGCCGAAAGCTGCTCGTAAAATCGACTCCAAAAGCCGTAACCCATGCATCATAGTCAGGAATTGCATGTCATCGTCAAAGCATGAACACTGTAGATTCGTGCGTCGGAAAATCCTGGTGGCTGACACCTCACACTGTGACGTATGTATAATCTCTGTGAATTGAACACATACAATCTGATATCTTAACGTGCCAGCCATTTTCAGTGGCATAACCTTAAGATAATGCACAGTGGATAATGGATATCGCGGTGGCTACAAGTACACAACGTGTAGTAAAAACGCACTACTCTAGACGCCTTCTATCTACGCTCCACTTTTCACGAAACCAGGTCGAGTAACGTGCACTCAGTATCATATTCTCTACCACCACCTCACGTGCATCTTCCGTGCATCATTAACGCATTCAACAACTAAAGCACTACCACCATCACAACACACGATTTCAGCTAGATCTACACTAAATCTACACGTCCTACAAATAATGTCTACAAATATACCATGCTCAAGTCTACGCCTACGCATGTAACTAAAACAAAACTAACGCAACGTCTGACGCATGTTCTGACGTAGCTACATCTATATCTAATGCAACGTCAACTCTACACAGCCCTACAGTCTAAGCCTACGTACACGCCAGCGGATATCACTAGGGCCTAGGCCAAATATACACAAGCCAAAACTCAAATCAGCACCACGCAGACTCATCTCTGCACGTCGTTCATCCACACAAACACGTTTCTACTAAATCTACGTCTAAGCCTAAGTCTTCACTGAGGGTTCGCCAATCGCTACACTAATTACCACTTCTACCAATACATGTTCTACCACTACGTCAGCTTCAACTATTTCATTCACAACTAACTATACTAAAGTCTACAACCACGTCTAATGGACTACGCCAACCACTTCTTCTACCACTACACCTAAAGCTACTCGACCTATCCCTGCCACTACTTCAACCACCACGCCTGCGTCAACCACTACCTCTACCACTACCTCTACCACTACTCCTCACACCCCCCTCTCCTCACCGGTTCCCGTGTCCGTCCCCTGAGCGGCTCTCTGTGCCCCCAGCGCCGCGCCGGCCGCCGGAGCCACCAGACTGGCGCGTCTCACGGCCTCCACGACATCCCGCACGTCTTCTCTGAGAGCGTCAGGCAGCAGGGCCACGCAGCGGCCGGCCAGACCCACCCAGCCGCCACCGCCGGCCGCAGCGGCCGAGAGCGAGGGCGACAGGCCGCCTGGGGTGGTCGTGGTGGGGAGAGGGGTTAGCAATGTGTGGGGAGATGGGGAGAGAGACGGGGAGGAAAGAGATGAGAGCGGGATCACGAAAAGGGTGTGAAATAGGGATAGGGCCGACTTGTTAGGTATGTGTGAGTAAATTAGTGTGATTGAAAGTCACTAATGACTCAGTCCACATAACCTCTGGCACTGTAATCGAGAGACTTCACCATAAACTTCGACGTTCAATTCCGTAAGTAACGGCTCCTGATTCCTATCACATATTATGTACACACTACACACAATACCTCGATCTCCTAACAAACGTCGCTAGATTCACGTCGTACTGCGAACATAATTCTAAAAACCGACCGATCACTCCCAAGGCTACATGTTAAACAGTAATCACACTCGATATGCTTAACTAAACGCTCTAGTCTTGCATTGGTCACCTTAAACGCTTCTAATTGGTCACCTATCTTCTCTCTCCACCCCTGATTGGTCGTGATGTGCGTTACCCGAGTCTAATTGGCCCATCCTCCTCCTTGTTTATGATAGTCGCACCCATCCCGCCTCGTCTCTCTTTCGTCCCTAACACCATTCCTCGTCTCTCATTGGCCACCAATCTCCCTTCCTCGCCTCTGATTGGTCCTCCTACCCCTTCCTCATCCCTCATTGGCCCGCCCACCCCCTCCTCATCTCTGATTGGCCCTCCGTCTCCCTCCTCGCCTCTCATTGGCCACCATTATCCCCCTTCCTCGTCTCTGTTTGACTTTCCCACCCCTTCCTCATCCCTCATTGGCCCGCCCACCCCCTTCCTCGCCTCCCATTGGCTACTCACCCTGTGGCGACAGGTCACCGCTGACCAGCGACATTTTCCGTACGATCTCGTCCGCCTTGGAGGACCTCCTTTGTCCCGGTCCGACGGACAGACGCTCGGGCAGCGACCTCTCGGAGGAGGTCGAGTCGGGACTACCCTCGGGCGAGGGCGAGGCCACGGGGACTTGAACGTAGTCCAGAGACCACATCTGGAGAGTGAGAGAGGGGTACGTCATGTGCTGAAACGAGCTGTCGTGAAAAAGTAATGTGTTGACATACCAGCAACGCCAGACAACTATTTGGTACAGACTAACTACATATTGAGGCGAGTATGGGGAAGGAGTTAATGGTTACTTTAGCGGAGCAAACATGCAGAAAAATACACGCCATTTACATAGTAACACGTTCATACGAACAACATTGTTCATTTTACCGAATCGTATTTTTCGTCAGATATCCTGACAAATAAGTAAGCGACTCGTAAAATGAACACAGTTGAATTTGAATCTAATACGAGCTCATGAATCGTACTCCGTCAGCTGTCTTCCAAGACTCTCACTCAGACTCCCTCTCTCCCCCACAGAACTCACCCTCACCACGCCGTCTGTGCTCCCTGTCATGATAACATTCTCCGCGTCCCACTCGTTACTCTGACTGAATCCCAGACAGAGGATCTGCTGCATCCGATCGGAGGCGCCCACAGCCGTGTTAACACGTGCCACCTCGGCGCCGTTCACGGTCCACACGTGCAGCCACGTGCCTGACGACGTGGCGATGTCGCCCTGCGCGGGGAGGGGGCCAATGGGTGAGCAGTGCAGTACAGGAAAAAGTAACTGTTAACGTTTTCCTGACATTTAGCTAGGTAGAGAATAAAAGATCATTCTTGCATTGAGTGAGAGCTACTTCACCTTATTCAGAACGGAAGTTTCATTTCATAAGTTACATCGATAAACAAATGCCCATTAATTCGTATAGCCGCCAGTGTAGCGTTAATCGCAATGTACCAAACAATGTCAAAAAATAAAGTTGCTGCTCCCTCATATACCCCTCCAGCCGATCCAATTCTTACCACCATTACTAACAGAGCTTCAGCTGCTACAAAAAGCTGCTACACCATACTCCTCTCATTGAAGTTACTCAATCTCCCAGTGACGTCACTACCACTAACCGTGACGTCATTGATGGCCACGGCGGCCACGGGGGCCGAGTGACCTCTCAGCTGACGGACGTACGTCAGCCGGAACAGGTCCCACACGATGCATGTGCCGTCCCGCGAGCCTGGGGCGCGTCATGAAAGTTAGGAGACAAAGGTACGGCTCAAGCGCCTGGGAATGCGTCATCATCAAAGTAAGGAGACAAAGGTACGATACACGTGCCGTCCCGGGAGCCTGGGGCGCAACATCACAGGTAGGAATAAATACGTCATGTTAACCCTCGCATGTGTGCGGCATTTGCCAGCTTCTAATGTGTAGGGGGGGGGGGGTCGGTTGGACCCCCCCCCCTTGCCGTTTGGCCCCTGATTGAGCTAGAGCTTCGCGGAAAAAACGAGCGTGTTGCCCGTGACGAGAGGAAGCCGATGATACCCAATTTTAAGGTCCTAGGTCATTGGCTGACCTTCCAGGTCAGGTCAATGACCCAAAGTCGGGAAAATCGTGACCTGTTAGAAAGTCGTAAAGTGTGGCTTCTAAGGGGTTTTTCGGGGTGCTGATCACGAATATCGTGTTAGTTTTGATCACAGATGATGTCTTGAAGCATTTAGACCAGGTCGGGTCAGGTCAGGTCAGGTCAACCAGTAGGCGTCGTGACGGGTATTCGTAGTACGTGTCAACCGCCTCTGACAGCTTCGTAACATGTTACAAAGTCACCAAAACTACTTCGTAAATGTTCAAATGGTTGCTAAATTCGAATTCAGCTCCAAAAACTAGCCTAGAAACATGTAAAACTCGAAAAAGTGAACCGAGGTCACCCGAGGTCACCAAAGGTCAATGACCTGACCTGACCTTCAGGTGACCTTGACACCCACGGGAGTAACATCAAATCACATGTTTGAACGTTTGAAACCACGAAAAGCTTGCAAACGCGCGGCTAGTGCGAGCCGACATACGCGAAATCGCGATTCCGGCCAAACATGGTCTCGGAAAAGAGGTCACAGGTCAAAGGTCATTTGGGTCAGGGTCATGAAATTTTCAGGGTAGGTGTAAAATTGATCAATGCGAGGGTACTGAAAGTTTCGTCGCGATCGGCCGCTTTTTACGCGAGTTATTCGCGAAAAACCATGGGGGGGGGGGTCCATCCGACCCCCCCCCTACACATGCGAGGGTTAAGGGCCTTAGAAAGCTCAGAAGAGAATAACACAAGGCCATGGATTACAAACACAGTGATATCTAAAGATCGCTTGATCGTGTTGCAAAAGCATCCACTTCAAAATTACATATAAGCAAAACACTTAACTGTTAGCTGAATGTGAAGTTGTGAACTGTGTTTTGTGAAGTCAAGTGAAAAGAAAAAGTACAGCAAATACAAGCACGAAACGAACAGCCACCTACCCGACACGATGAGTGAGTAGGCGGTGCTGGCGGCCAGCGACAGGACAGCCTCTGTGTGACCACACAGACGGGCCTTCACCTGCAGACGGCGCTTACCGTACTCGTACACTACCACCACCTGGCGGAGATGATAAGAAAGAAACAGAGGTTAGAGAAATAGCCGGTAGGTTCACTATTTGTGAGGGAAGTGCCATCATAAACCTTTGTTTGGCGTTTGTTTTAACGTCTTTCGAAATCGAGTGAATATTAGCGTTTTTCTTCCTAACGAGCGAACGGTTGATGGCGGACGCTTAAAAGGACCACATAACATCTACACACTTGGACATGACGCGAGGTTGTGTTTGATGCCACCTCAGCACTTTTTCATTTATTTTTTGCTTGCATTTCAGAGATGTATGTACAGTGAGCACATTATATTTAAGAATAAATCGTACAGAAAATCTGAGACAAAATCGCCTAGCTTCACGATAGCGGCATCTGCCGTACGGCATAAGAACACACATCTGACGGTCTTCACTCTTCACTCACTCCCCTCGATCACATGTTCCTTCCTAGCATTGCTCCAAAAATACTGTAAAAAATACTCTCCACTCTTACCGTGCTGGTGCCCCCGGTAACGATCAGTTTGGGTCTCGGCGCCACACAGCAGAGCACCTCGCCACTGTAGACGAGCTCGGCCACCAGGGAGGCGCGGTCCGTCTCGTAGCTTCCCACGCGGATACTGCGGATCGGGGGATGGGGGGGGGGGAGGTTACGATAAAAATATACATTTCAGACAGACAGTGCAATGCTGGAAAGCAGTGTATATTTCATAAATTTAAACAAACAAACAAAATCAAAATTTGAGCCTGAAAGTTAACACGTTCGATACGAATAGGAAGCGAGGCTGAAGTTAGGAAAAGGATAAGCGCCGACACAAAACGTCCAAATCAAAACCTACGCGGTCGGTAGGACTCGAACCTACGCTCCCAGAGGGAATCTGATTTCTAGTCAGACGCCTTAACCCTATTAGTGGCAGGCTCCTGGCTACCCCCTATTAGTGGCAGGGGGGGGCTGTTTACGACCCCCCCTTGATATCTCGAGATCTAACGGGCCGATTTTCAAAATTCAAACGGCATTCGATTTCGCTCAACGTGATCTACATTTCTAAAAAATAAAAATTGAAAAAATGTCAATAGGGGGGTAGAGGGGGGTAAAAACGGGCAAATTGCAGATACATTTTAGACTGTTTATCGCGGCCAGGTTTCTGAACCAATCTTAACGCAACTTTTGCCGATCGATAGAAAATGAACCAGGAATTCACATGGATCCTAAAAATATGCATTTTCAAAAATCATAGGCGGATACAGATCATTGAGATTGGGGGTACACAAAAAGTATAGTAAATAAGGTTTTTGTTGGTACTGTTTCTAAAAAGGGTGGTAATTGTCTTGTTATGTTACAATTTTCTTATGAGAGAACGACTACAATTGTAGTATTCATGCATAGGCGGTGTCAGGGCACCTATTTTGGGAGGTAAAACATAACCCCCCTTTTTGAACGCCTGGATCCGCCTATTATAGCAAAAACGTGTCAAAAGAGGATGCACAATAACTGTATATGTTATCACATGATACCTTTCATTCACTGTTCGTAAAACTGGTGCAGCATCGTGATCTTCGCCCAAATGACTCGCTTCACGAATAGGACCCCCAATTCCCAGTGCTCTGGAGCCGCCCCTGGTAAACTTATGAACTTGAAATTTTCAGGGAATGTGCCCAATTTAGTTTTAGGAAAAGTCAGAAAATTTCAGCATCGTAGCTTTAGCGGTTTCGGAGATATTCCCGAAAAACCTGAGGGGTGGATAAAAACAACCCCCCCCTGCCACTAATAGGGTTAACCACTCGGCCACGACCGCGATGAAGCGCAATCCCGCTCAATACGTCAGGGGGGTTGCCCGGTGCTATACGAATTAACTGCAAGATGGCGCCCCACATGGCTACATTGTTATTGTTTTGTAGGGTTAGGCACTTAGGCCCTTCCGGTACGAGACTATTTTGGAGCCGGGAGGATGATAGGAATTAGGGGAAGACTGGTCTGGGCAGGCACCCTACAGTCACCGGGACTGAGCCCATCCGAATGATAGACAGGCCGACCAGCCCCCCAAGCACTCTGCACCCGGCTACGGGGTGCGCTCCCTCGGGAGCAGCCGGCATGATGAGATAAAGATGTCTGTACACTGTACAGCACGGAGTGGGGGTTGCGGCGTGGCGAAGAATGATTTCAGTATCCTAAGGATGGAAACGACGGAACGGAGGAGCCAGGGCACTGAAGAGTCAGGAGGGAGGAACGTGGGTAAAAACATAACGCTTCGAATGCGCGCCTCGATTTTCTATTGAATGTCTAATGTCTATTGAATAACTGTGCATAAAATATATACAGAAACAGCATGAGGGATTGTCTGCCTAATCAAACCTGAAGTCTTAGACAGCTGCAAATTTTTCACTACCCACTTTTACTAATTCTTATAAGACATATTTTCTACCTACCTCTGGACCGATTGCTACATTTTGTCCTTTGTTCCCAAGCATCGGTGGTTCAGTGGTAGAATGCTCGCCTGCCACGCGGGCGGCCCGGGTTCGATTCCCGGCCGATGCATTTTCATCGCTATGTTTGATATTGCCATGGAATGGCTACAGTCGATGGTACAGCAATCCAGCATTCTCGCCCCACAACCAAACATCCCAGTCTTAATCCGCTATGCATGCTCGTTTCATTCATTCATTCAGTCAGTCATTTATTCATTCATTCATTCATTCATTCATTCATTCATTCATTCATTCATACACACGTACATACATATACATGCATGCATGTATATTGTATTAGTGTATACATACACCCGTCCGCTCATTCATTCATTCATTCATTCATTCATTCATTCATTCATTCATTCATTCATTCATTCATTCATTCATTCATTCATTCAGCGTCGCCTCACCTGTGATCGGCGAAGCCCCAGGCCACGTAGCGTCCGCTGTTTCCGGGCACAATGTACTTGTTCTGTTCGACGGCCAGCACGGAGCGCTCCTGGGGCACGATGTGACCGATGGGGCCCTTCAGCTCTGTGGAAAACACAGGGGAATGGTCAGTAAAGGTCATTTGGGGTAAGGTTGGGCCAGGTCAGGCCAGGTTGTGTTCACAGTTTTCATCAAGGTGAAGTTACAACGGGCTCCATAGGTCCGAATCAAGTTGGGTCGGGTCTTGTCAGCTTGGGCAACGAAGCCGGCGTGCTCCCTAGTGATCTCCAACTGACCTGTGATCCCGCTAAACTGACCTTCGCCTCTGACAAACTGACGCTCATCTGACTAACCCCTTACCATGGCCAACTGACCGACAACGCTCTCCAACTGAATTACAAAGTAGCCTTAATTCTTAAAAGGGATCTCTGACCCCTTCAAACCAGCCCGGCCCCTTCCAAACTGACCTCCGCCCTTCTCGCACTGACCTTTGACGGGCTGCATGCTGGGCCTCAGACCGTCCAGCGCGTGGAAGAACAGCTTGTCACTGCCGCTGATGTTCTGCTGCCAGGCCCCGTCCAGAAGACGGTTCGTGAGGCGCACAGACTGCCCGGGGGGAGGGAGGGAGGGGGGGGGGGTGAGTGGGAGAGAGAGAGAGAGAGAGAGAGAGAGAGAGAGAGAGAGAGAGAGAGAGAGAGAGAGAGAGAGAGAGAGAGAGAGAGAGAGAGAGAGAGAGAGAGAGAGAGAGAGAGAGTGAGAGTGAGAGTGAGAGTGAGAAAGAGAGTGAGAGTGAGAGAGTGAGAGAGTGAGTGAGTGAGTGAGTGAGTGAGTGAGTGAGAGTGAGTGAGAGTGAGTGAGAGTGAGTGAGTGAGTGAGAGAGTGAGAGTGAGAGTGAGTGAGTGAGTGAGTGAGTGAGTGAGTGAGTGAGACAAACAAGGATACAAATATATCCGTAAGGCTTTATAAAGAGAAACTTGGTCAGGCCTTCACGCATGGTGCCCCACATATGACCTCACACTTCACAGATCAGAAGTCACAGGACAGGTCATAATTCACGGGGGTCAGGTCAAAGCTGAAATCACGGCAGTAAAAAACAAAAACTTGCAAGGAAATATATCATTATGCCATCCATAAATAACATAAATCATGTCATCTATGTCCCATCACATGAACCTGTAGATAATTGATCAGCTGTGTATCTGACCCGGTATATTCATGATCCAGTATCTCCCTTTCACCGTTCCGCGCCCCAATCCAAGTACGTCAGTACGTCTCAGTATGCCTCAGCATGTCTCAGCTATGTCTCAGTACGTCTCACTATGCCTACTGTTAACGCCAGACCCCTTGAGACCCTAATTTTTCGCGATTACTTTTAAATGCGTGAAGGAATTTCAACCAAGCTCAGGACATGGCCGTTTCAAGACAGGCCGAAACTTTTACAATTTAGATATTTTATCGCCATTTCAATATTTCAGGCACTTGTCATTGACTCGTAATGTTAAATTTCGAGCAAGATTTTCATCCGGTGTGTAGAGGCTATCACCAGTCAGTCTGTGATACGTTATGACGTCACAGCTAAGCCCCGCCTCTGTGGTCTTGGCCTGCGGCGGTTTCGGGCCGGCGCGCGGTCACTCTCGCTGTGGCGGGGAGCGGGGACGCCGGGCGACGGTCGAGCGGTGCCGAAAGCCGGCGGAGTTGTGCGTAGCGTCTTGGCTGACAGTGCCCAGAGAGCGACATGATGACTAAGGAGTCATAAATGCTCAATGCGCATTGCTTCTACAATGCTGATATGTTCGCTGATATTTTTTTTTATAAGCTGCATATGACGGGCAGATGGCATATAACTGACATAAGGTTAGGAAATATTCACCTGTATTTAAAGCCTATGGCGTTGCAGATAATACGATAATGGGATGTCGGATGTCACCAAGTAGCTGCCGATTTGTACATCGCTATGCAACCATCGAACAACGCAATAATAAGTTAATTGCCTGAGCTTCACATCATACGGCTCGCTCGTATTTCAAACAGATACCCTACATCGAAAATCGTATTTGTTAGGAATCGTTGACGTTTGTTCGAAGCACGACTGAGTAGTAGGTTGAGGAGTGATGGTCCTCTTGGTCCTATACAAGAGTCAACAAGAGCCTAACATTTACTTGACCGTCTGCTGCAATTGACTCATAGCACGTGAAGCGTCAGCGAAATTCATAGTCCTTCACAGATGGCAGGGGTGTCGTTTGTACAGAGGTCGCTGATGGGCACGGGTCAATGCCGCAGTCGTGGGCGGAGCCTAATGTCATATGACGTAGAAAGCCTCTATCCAGGATGGAAAAACAGTTAACATTACGAGTCAATGACAAGTGCCTGAAATATTGAAATGGCGATAAAATATCTAAATTGTAAAAGTTTCGGCCTGTCTTGAAACGGCCATGTCCTGAGCTTGGTTGAAATTCCTCCACGCATTTAAAAATAATCGCGAAAAATTAGGGTCTCAAGGGGTCTGGCGTTAACAGTAAATACGTCTCAGTATGCCTCAGTACGCCTCATGTCTCAGCATGTCTCATTATGTCTCATTACGTCTCATGATGTCTCAGTACGTCTCAGCTATGCCTCAGCATGCCTCAGTATGTCTCAGCTATGCCTTAGCTACGTCTCACCCATGCCTCAGCTATGTCTCAGCATGTCTCAGTATGTCTCAGCATGTCTCAGTATGTCTCAGTACGTCAGTATGTCTCAGTACATCTCAGCTATGCCTCAGCTATGTCTCAGCTGTCTCACTATGTCTCAGTTTGTCTCAGCATTTCTCACTATGTCTCAGCTATGTCTCAGCATTCCTCAGTATGTCTCAGTGCGTCTCAGCTATGCCTCAGTACGTCTCAATACGCCTCAGTACGTCTCACTATGTCTCAGCTATGTCTCAGCTATGTCTCAGCTATATCTCAGCATGTCTCACTGTCTCAGTACGCCTCAGTATGCCTCACTATGTTTCAGTATGTCTCAAATTATACGTCTCAGCTATGCCTCAGTACGTCTCAGCTAGGTATGTCTCAGCTATGTCTCAGCTATGTCTCAGTACGCCTCAGCGCTCACCTGCAGACTGCTGCCAACCAGCCGCCGCTGCGGGTGAGGCTTCTTGAACAGCTGACGCGGGATCTGACCAAAGTTGTTGATGAAACCCACGGTGGCCGTCTTCTTCAGTGGGTCCTCGATGCTGCGAGAAGGATACGTTCATGTGGTGCTACGCCGCTGAATATTGTTTTGTGAAGAAGCCAGCATGAAAATATGCGAGCAGTTCAAAAGGATTTTGGTTACATCCATGACTGCTACAGGTACCAACTGTATATTGGACAAAGTACCTAGTGACAGAATGGCTTAGTGATAGTTACGCAGTCCTGATTTGCCCCAAGAGTACCTATGGAAAACACTGGGTGCAAAGAGACACCCATATTTCCTTATGGCAATGACAAAGTGGAGGTCACATATGCATTCGTCGTTCACAAAGTATGGTCATCTCTATGCAGATTCAGACTGATGCAATACGGATAAAACTTCCACTCGTACGCCCGTAGTTCTGAATCGCAAATTGAAAAGATAACATCGCTATGATAGCACAGCTGCTGAATAGAGCATCTGCTGCATCGACCCTTATCACACTGAATAAAATACCAGCAGCAGCAGCAGCTGCACTGTGCTCCATGGTATCACCTCTACTTTACACACTAAACCGTTAGTGGCGGGTAATTCAAAATTCAAAATAGTGCGATAACGAGCCATCATGCTCGACTCCGTCACGTAACGAATCGCGCTTCAGCATAACCGAAAGATAAGCGTGAGACTTTGATCCTTTGAACAATAGCTTGTATGGTAGTCGATTACTTTGACTGACTTCACCTCACCCGCATACGGCGAGACTCGTAGGATATTTTACTAACTACCGACCAGGCTGTGCTACTCGCTGCATCAAGCTGCAGCCTGTTTCTATCGTCATTATTATGGCATTATACTTACCGTCATCAATTACTCTCCTACGGTCCTCATCACTTACCTGATCACGTAATGCCATAGACAGACATGTGAGCTCTTCACTGACAACTGAAAGCCAAGTTTCCCTCATCGAAGAACACTGCACTGAAGACGCTGACGTCCACGTTTTCCCTAGCTGAGGTCTGAAAATATCACTGGCCTGGAGATGATAGGATATGTAACTAGACCACTGACCTGAAGATGTCGACGTTTCCCTCGTAGAAGAGGTAGTGGAACACGTTGTAGGCGTCCACAGCGCCGTGACCCTGCTGCTTGCAGCCGAATATCAGGTCTGAGAAACATCAAGAGATGTTACGAGAGGTGTTATAGAACGGATGTGATGCGTCTCTGTCTGCAGGGATAAATGATGTTGATTTGATAGCAGGGCGTTAAATATCATTTGTCGCCCCAAAAGGCGTCTTACTGGTGGTACTCAGCAATGCGTTTGAAATTGTGCGAGACTGGCCGACGAAAGGTGATGTAGTGACCAAACTTCGGTTTCAGCATGAGGGTGCTAGGCAATTGCAATTCTAGTTCACTAAGTGTGTTGATTCGATACACTTCCTGTTTCATTAAAACACACATGAAATCTATCGTCTTTCGTGTGCCCACATTAATGGACGAACAAAGTTTCAGATCAAAGGTTGACATGAAGCATGTGATTGCCCGTTCTGTTTCCTCTCCGGCCTCCCTCCGCCCCCCCCCCCCACGTACCGATCCAGTGGTGCAGATGTGACGACACGTAGGGACACTCCAGTGCCTCGCGGTGCACCCTGATAAACTCGCGCGGGTCACCCTTGGCCCAGGCCGGCAGAACCACGTCGTCCAGCGCCGTCCCGTTCTGTTTGTGACCTGGCGGGGGCGGGGGGTATGAAAGGTCAGCAGGGGGCGGCAAAGGTCAGGTCACCGACGTTATCAGTCATATAGGGTCATCGATGCTACCAGAGTAGACGCATAATTATTATTAAGATCGAAATTTATCTCTGCTTTGACAATTTATTTCTGCTTTGTTGCAGTGTAGGTATTTGCAATATGTTAATGTGCATTTTGATTAAGATAGAAAATAGGTAGACATTTTCTAGCAAAACTTATGCGTTTGGTAATCTCCCCAAAACACTCATCAGCTAAATAAAAAAACAGCATGCACTGTCCAAACGTAAGCAGCACAAATATGTCTCGTCTGAACAAATCTTCATCCGTGTATCTGTCCACTTTGCGTACCGAGGTCGAATTGGTTGGCGTTGGTGAGAAACTCGGGCAGGTAGAAGAACTCGGGTATGAGTTCCCGCACGTCGGCCATGTTGTGCTCGGAGGCCGAGCGCCAGGCGTCCTCCACGCTGTGGAACATCCGGTCGGCCAGATCAAAGTGGCCGCCCTGCCGGAAACGGAAACAGGAAACTTCCGGTCAGCGTGGGAAAATCGACAAATGGGAAGTGCCAGGGGGAATATGGTAGATAAAACAAGTCGTCGATAGTAAATATTTGCTGGTCCGTCTATAGACTGATACGATTCCTTTTTCCTCTGGGCCCATCCCATTGGCCCATCCCACCACCAACTTTCCTCAAGTCTACTTAGTCTACTAACTTACAACCCTCTCCTTTCGTTCTGCTTTCCTTCTTCTGCTATCCTAAACCTCACTTCCATTTTTGTTCTAACCTTCATCTTCCTTTTCATTCGTAACCATTAATTCTCTTTTCTCTCTTCCATTTCTTTCCACTCTTCTTTCCTCATCCCTTCTCCCACTTCCCTCTCCTCCTCTTCACCTCCATTTCCTTTCTCCCTCCCTAATCCTCCCTCCGCTAGTTACCCCTCCTTTTAATATAATCAATTTCCTTCTTTCTCCCTCCCTATTCCTCCCTCCTCTCTTCCTCTTTCCCTTCCTTTCCCCTCCCCCGCTCTCGTCACCTGCAGTCTGAGGAAGTGCGTGCTGAAAGGCTCCAGTCGGACCAGGTAGCTACAGACGATCATGGCAGAGCTGTAGTGGGTGCCGTAGTGGTACGGCGGCGTCTCGCCCGTCGGGTCGTCCCACTCACGGTATCTGCAGAGGTCACACAGAGGTCAAAGGGGTCAAAGGGGTCAGAAGGGGTCTCACTAGGCAGTGGGTCGCGCAGAAGTCAACAGGAAGGTCATGTATAACAAATAGTCGTGTGTATACAAAGGATAACACACAAGTCAAATGGTCATGTAAAAAAGAAAACTGAGCGAGTTAAGTAAATAGAGGTTGACAGTCCTAAAAGCCAAGGTCAAAGACACCCTAATCATTCCAATGCTTTGGCTATTTTGCACCCTGCTGCTTATCCATCGGCATCTGTTCCTCATTACAATCACCATCCCCACAATTACCTCTTCTCGAACTGGTGCAGCCTCTTGGGCGTCTGGGCGCCCATCGGCCTGGCCAGGTCTCTGAACGTCGACGGGTCGGTGAGATCCAGTTTGTCGGCGCTGTAGTCCTTCAGCACCCAGGGGAACACCGGGTACTGCATCAGGTCGTTGTAGGACCTCCCGGCCAGCGAGTTAAGGTGCATCAGGTACTGGAAGTTGGACATCTCACCGCGCTGTGGAGACAGATAATGGGGAGACTGTGTGTGAGAGAGGGAGGGAGGGAGGGAGGGAGAGAGAGAGAGAGGGGGAGGGAGGGAGAGGGAGGGAGGGAGGGAGAGGCCGGAGATGATTGTATCAATGGTAGTCTTAGTCAGGGGGAGAGATATGGAACTAACCCCACATTGTAGGACTTCACATGTTTGCAGACACAAACGGGGGGGGGGGGGGATAAATGTAAAGGAACGGTCTAGAAGGCCTTCAACTGTTAAACGTTTTGCGGGACTCGTGTCCACGTGGCTGCCACGTGGGTAAATTGATAACGCTGCGTCAGCCCGGGCCGGGAGGCTCGAACATAATCTATGTAGAATGATCCATGTAATCAACAAGTTATACTTGCAAAGATGACTTCAGCAGTATGCATACAAGCGTCTGTCAAATAGAAGAGCGTCTGCCAAAGTCGATGACACCTGCAGCACAGCGGTTAACATAGCGAATCGGGCAGCCATGAAGCCATACGAAGTTCTACGATAAAATGTCTCTCCCCGAGTACGATTAATCATACGTTTACAAGTCAAAGGCCCTTTTTCAATATCCGATAAAATATTGCTGAAAGTTCCAAAACACCAGGATCTAATTGTGAGTCGAGTCACTAGACATACAAATTGATAAGCCTCACTACGACGATCTAAACCTTCACATAAGGCTGAATCCGACACATTAATTCCACGTTACAGTCGAGTCATCGCTACAGCCAACACGTTGAGCCCCGTTACCCGTCACGTTACACACCAAGTCCCCCCCCCTTCCCTTTGCGTCTCTCCCATCCGACTGAGCACGTCACGTCACAGCCCGTTACACGTCACGTCACGTCACGTTACACACTGTCTCACTCACCACCCATCGTTGCGTAACGCTGGTCTCCCCCATCAGACTGCTGAGCAGGCCGCCACTCTGATCCACATTGGCCGAGGTCTTCTGTCCGGCCACGCTCTCCTGGGTGTCCGCCATAGAGGTGGCTACAGATTGTAGCCTGTGGGGTCACACAGGAGTCAAAGGTCAGGTCATACACTCTCCTGGGTGTCCGCCAGCCATTAACATCGAGGTGGCTACAGATTTTACATAGTCTGCGGGGAGGGGGGGGGGGACACACTAGGTGGCCATATGTTAGAATACCCTCACTGGCAATGGCTTACTGGCCTGGGTTCATGGGCCGGGGATAATGGGTTGTGGGATTGGAATGGATTGGGGGCTGAGGGTTTATAAATGCTCAGTTCACACGATGAAGTAGTTTCAAATATGTATAACAATTAGCCTCCTGATATAAACTGCGGATAGGCATAGCGATTCATCGCCCTATACAATTTAATTCATCCATAAATGTTCTGCGCACGCGGATATTCAAACGAAAGAAAAACCAAAGATGACTGCGTGATGTACCAACATTTTTTTCCCTCATAGTCATGCCCAGCCACCACTGGCTTGGCGTTTAAACCGTCTATCTCTAAACCAGTTAGTCTTTTTCTCACCTCTGGTAAATTTTGTTTCTGGTTTTGATGGGGAACGCCAGCAGGTAGTTCCGACCGTCCGCTGAGAAAAACTCCACCGCAATCGGCTGCAGTAGGTACCTGGGACACAAGAACCGGGGTCTTAAAAACCTCCCAGATGCGCGCTGGATGACTACGCTTCAGATGTTTAATTGGGACATTTCGTCAAAGCGCTATAATTACAGGCACGACGAATTACAATGCAAACGCAATGTGAAAAACAACAGCAAAAACAACTGGCCTTCATGTTGTAGCCATCAGAGTGAGTGAACACTCACGAATCACTAAAAAATACCAAATTTGAGTTCAACCGTGGTTCAACATATCTCGATCAAACCAGCCATAAGCGTTCTCGCATATATTTGAGGACAACTGTTTAACCCGCGTTTGAGGACCTCTGACCTGCGTTTGAGAACCACTAACTGACCTGCGTTTGAGGACCTCTCATTAGGTTTGAGGCCCACCGACTGACCTGCGTTTGAGGACCTCTGACCTGCGTTTGAGGACCTCTCACTAGGTTTGAGGCCCACCGACTGACCTGCGTTTGAGGACCCCTGACTGACCTGCGTTTGAGGACCTCTGACCTACGCTTGAGAACCCCCGACAGGCCTGCGTTTGAGAACCCCTGACTGACCTGCGTTTGAGCACCTCCCGGATGTCGTCGTAGGCCACCTTGGAGACGGAGCGGACGTCCTTGACCCGGCGCCCGGTCGGCTGGCAGGGCACGATCGGATCGTGCATGTTGGCCGGCAGGTTACCGATGTCCCTGTGAGGGGGCGGGGACGGGGGTTAGAATTACTGAGATAATTTGGTGGATGTTTGATATATTACTTAGGGATGAAGTTGCATAAAGGAAGACCACGAAAATGAAAGTTAGAATACGAAGGCACATACAAGGATGCTATAAATCAGCTAGGGGTAAATAGTGAAGGGTGAGGGATATTACGCTTCGGAAAGGAAAAAAATGGAGGAGGGGGCAACCAGGATAAAATATGATCTTCAGATTCTGATCTTCGGCTTCGAAAAATATTATCAATAAGATAAATTAGAAATAAATACATGCGTAGGAAGACACTTGATGCGACTCAAGAGCACATAATTTGCATGTCTACGAGGCCCGCGGCCCAGAAACACACCAAGGGTGAAGGGCAGCCTCTGCCCTCACATCCCTCGCGTCACCCACCTGATCTCCCTGGTCTTGAGCATGGTGAATCCGTCCACTACGTACACGTGGTCCCTGCCGAACAGCAGCAGGCCCTCCACCGTGTCCAGGCCCTGGATGCGCGCGCACCGGTACATGTGCGATATCTGCCCGAACAGAACCCGTGAGGTAACGTGGAGGTCGTGGGTTCGACACTCGGCGGAGGAAATATTTTATCGACATAAGAATGTTCCACTACGGTAAATATTATATGATCATGTCAAAATATTCAAAAAGACAATTGAGACTATCAAGAAAAATATCAGTATCCTATCAAAACCAAGTCCTATGAAAACAGTTACACAGCCTTCTAGTTGCAGCCAATTTACAACTGCGGCCGAAAATACAATCATGAAATCTATCTGCTTTTACCACACTTCCTACCCTCTCCCCCTGTCCTCTTCAAATCTCCCTCCCTCTCCCAACCCCCGTACCTTCTCTCCATGCTCCAGTAGCCGTAAGAGCGTCTGGTTATCGGGACTGGTATCCTCCACATCTGCCGACGGCTGTCTCTCGCCGCCCGCCGGCCCGTCCGTGGCCGAATCTGGCAGGTCTAGTGACTCGGGCTCCTCGTCGGGGTCTGAGGTGAGTCGGCGGCGGCGCAGGCTGCCGCGCAGACCTGGCGGCACGAGGGAGCGGGGTTAGGGTGTGTGGAAGTTAGCATTAGCAGCACTGACTCGGCTATCAACGAAGTTAACGAAATCGGCGAGAAACGTGCCCTGCAGGACACCGTGCCTCTCGTGCCGATTATATGAAGATGAAGATGAAGATGAAGGCTATCGATGGTGAAACAGTTCTCTCCTCTAATCAGCCAAAATCAACATGTCACGACAATGTATTTTTTATCCGCTCATTCACTAAGGCTTACTTTAAATCAGTTGAGTCAATTCTCACATTGTCCTCTGTTTCCCTCACTCCCTTGGCCTCCACCGTTCGGTCCATCCCTACGTTTCCCTGCCCCAGCCCTCATCGTTCCCTCACCAGCCCGTTTCCACTCACCGGCCTGTCTGAGTTTCTCTCCAATATCGGCACAGTCAGCGCCCTCCTCCTCCGTCATAGACATGGTATCGACAGCGGCCGCCGTCCTCCCTGCCTCTGACCGTCCGAGCAGGGAGCGGCGGCGCGGCTGCTGGGACCAGGCGCGCGCGTCTCGACACACGGGCACCTTGTACTTGGCCGCGCCGCGCTGGGAACGGGGCGAGCGAGAGGTGTGTGTTAGATGTAGTGGAGTGGCAGATGTGTTCTTTACAATAACTGTAGTCATACGAGTCAAGTAAGACAGTATAGTATCTGTTTTCCCAGGTAGGCTATCACCTGAAATTCGGTACGCGCGATGCACAAAGTGGCCAGTACTCCACACTCAATGCTTCTGGTATAGACTTAACTATAATACAGTAGTCCAGAATTGGAGATGCTTTTGATCCTCCAATTCCGTCACCGCACACAGCGACCGCTGTGGCCGGTCGGGACTGGCCACAGCGGACCGTCCACCGCACGCAGCCGTGACGTCAGAGCCGCCTACCCATCCCCTACCCCCACGCCTGCTGCACACGCCGCACTCAGCAGTTTGCGGTGCCCGTGAACACCCCTCAGGTCTATACGGGTACCGCTGGTAGAATGTAAAGCCCTCCAGGTATTTAGTGGTTGGTTGCCAACATCACAATAATCGATCTGCATTGATGAATACGTCTAATGGCTGTTGAAAACCACTGCCCAAATGCGTGCAGCACGAACCCTCTTCTCATATTTTCTATTTGGGTCATTTTACAGGAGTGTCTCTGTCATTTAAAGTTATTACACCAAAAGCACATAGGCTAACCAACCACTCTTTTGCTGGAGGGCCGTACCGTTGGTGCTCAGTACCCACCTGTACCACCGTTTCCAGGTCGGGTCTATACGGATACCGCTGGTAGAATGTACCGCTGGTAGAATGTACCTACCTGTACCACGGTCTCCAGATCGGGTCTGTACGGATAGCGCTGGTAGAACGTGACATCACTGACGGTCCTCTTTCTCATCCGACACGGACCCTCAGTAGTGTCCAGCTGCCACTTGTCCAGACTGACAACACGCCACAGACAAACGTTAGACACGCCAGATATAACCAGCAACCAATATATCCAGACAACCGTGAGACATGACAATATGTCTGAAGCAACAGCAGATCGTGACTGTCAAGATGGGTAGTCGTCACAGGTTAACAAAATCATTTACGTCAATGGTCGTCGACAACGGCATAGACTTGACATAGTAACTGTTAACCTGAGCAATAATCAGGCTCAAAATCAATCATGCCACTCAGCGTTCAGTAAACTTGTTATGTTAGCTGCTGTCAAATTGCACAGTGGCTATTAATAGTAACTCAAACATATCCATAGCGGTCATTGCGTAGCTTCAATACGATAAAGAAGATCAACAATGCCAGCAGGGACCTCCCAACGGACATTGTGTGTCTCGGAGGCCGCAAAAGTCCCAAAGTCCGGATCCTGGGCCTCTAATTGCTCACCTGCTGGCCACCTCGGGCCCCCACAGGCCCCTCTCTCTGGTCAGCTCTCGCTCCATTCGCAGCCACTCGTCCATTATAAAGTCCTCCATGTACTTCTGGCTCTGCGTGGATAAAAACAGCAATGGTAAAATGGAGCACGGCGAAGTAACGTTTGCGTTACTCACAAGAAAAAAACACACACACACACGAAAGCAGGATGTGTCCATTGCCCCAATAGTAAATTTAGAATGAACCCTGTAAAAAATATAGTCTATCTCTATAATTATGACTACGAGCCCTCACCTGTTTGAACTGTCTGAACTGAGTCACCACCGACTCCCTGACTCCGGCGATGTGCTGCAGAGTCCAGAGCTCCACCTCTGCCGGAGTCAGCGGCGAGGGTCGGGCGCGCACAGAGTCCTCGCGCCGGGAGCGGGTGCGCTGTGCCAGCCGGCTCAGGCCGCCCGTCACACGCTGCAGCTTCTGTTGGTGGAGGGGAGGGGTGAGGTTGTTAGGTTAGGACCTTTCGGCCTGACGAGACCATTTCAGAGCCTGAAGGATGATAGGAATTAGGGGGAGACATTGGTCTGGGCAGGCACCCTAGAGAGTCACCAGGGCTGAGCCCGGTTATAAGCCATTAGGTAACAAGCCGGCCAGGGAGATAAGTGATATTACAGGGGGTGATATGACGCCTCTTGTCACCTCTCCTCTAACACTCTTCCCTCTTTCGCAGGTAAATCTAAAGAAGTATCCCGCCGCTCTCACATCGCCAGTTCAAATTGCCAAGTCGCCCCACAATCTCCTTATAATTCCACGCAACTTCCTTGCAGCAAACATTCGAGACTTCAAAATGCTATATCATCACAATCGATCCAAAGGTTGATTGTTTTGTTGGGTTGGGCTCTTTCGGTCTAACAAGACCATTCCGGGATTCCAACCTCCTACCAGCCCTCCCGTCGTCCCAAACTCACGCTGCTGACACAACCCCCCACAAGCCCTCCCGTCGTCCCAAACTCACGCTGCTGACATAAACCCCCACCAGCCCTCCCGTAATCCCAAACTCACGCTGCTGAGTGCTGACACATTAACCCCCTTACAGCCCTCCCATCGTTCCAAACTCACGCTGCTCACAGTCTGGAGCTGCGCCTGGATCTCCCAGGGCGGGCGGTAGGAGCACTTCTTCTCTCCCTCCAGGAAGGCCACCCAGAGCCGTGTGGCCGGGTCCTGGAGACTGGCGCGGACAGTGTCCAGGTCCGGTGCCGTGTTGTTTTCCAGAGGGAGGCTCACCTTGAACACCTGAGGATAGAGGGAAGGGGAGGGGGTGAAAGGGGTGTAGATGAGAAACATTACAGCTCATCAGATCAAACAGGTCAATGATATCAAATGCTGAGCTCCTCTCTCGTTCTCTGCATATCTGTTTATTTTTTGTCCCTCCCTCCTTCTTTCTTTCAGATCTTAGTTTGCCCTATCACCGCTGTTTGAACAGCAGTAGGTAGGCTTCCGCCTCCCCACCTTTTTATCTCTCAGTTTGTCACCTGTGTCAGTGCCTCTTTCCCTCTCTCTCCTTTTTCCTCCCCCACCCTCCCTCCCTCTCTCTCTCTCTCTCTCTCTCCCTCTCTCTCTCTCTCTCTCTCTCTCTCTCTCTCTCTCTCTCTCTCTCTCTCTCTCTCCCCTCCCCCTCTCTCACCTCCTCCACTGCGGGCCGTTTCCATATGTAGAGCTCGGACCACACTCTCCGTGCCGCGTTGGCCATCAGGTTATGTCCCTGTGCCGTGTTGGGGTTCGTCTCCGGGTCCAGAGTCGAGGGGATCGCGTGCCACACCGTCCGTGATTCCGCCTCGGTGCTGCAAAAAGGCAAAATCGATACAATTAGATTGATGGTTGTCGAATAATCTGCAAGAGGAGTGTGTGTCCTGTGTAGGACATTGTTTGTTTGTTTTGTTGGGTTAGGCCCCTTCGGTCCAATTAGACCATTTCAGAGCCGAAAGGATGATAGGAATTAGGGGGAGACATTGGTCTGGGCAGACACCCTAGAGAGTCGCCGGGGCAGAGCCCGTCCGAATGGACAGGCCGACCAGCCCCAAGATACTCACTGCACCCGGCTACGGGTTGCGCTCCCTCCGGAGCAGCGGTGCCGCTCCAAGGGAGCAGCCCGCATGAGATAAAGTTGCCTGTCCAGCCCGAAGTGGGGGTTGCGGCGTGGAGAAGGATTTCAGTATCCTAAGGATGGGAACGACGGAACAGAGGTAGGACACTGATCTCCCTTTGGTCAATAATGGTCTTCCCTTTGGTCTATTTCTCCCTCTGCGGCTCTGCCCTTCTGTTGAAGTCCGGGGATAGCCCAGTTTTCATTTTCAGCGCCGACCGCTAGGTGGCCACCCACGAGGTCGTGACCAAAACGTTTTCGCCTGTGACCGAAATCACAACAAACGGCCTTCAAGCGGCCCGGGCCACGCAGTTTCGGGAGGAGGCCGGCAGGGGGCCATGACCAGCGGTGTCGCGTCGGTGTTTCAAAACATAAGTTTTCGTTCATATAAGTAAACAGCTAAACATATCACAAAAGCCAGACAAGTAGATAGGGAGGCAATAGCATTCCCCACTTTTTGACAAAAGTAATCAGGGCAATACCACACGCTCCATCAGATAACAAAGAAAGATCTGACACCATTTCTGAAACGGACAAGGGCATCGAATCAAACCAAACGGCATAAAATTGGCAACTATTCGCTTTCCCTCCGCACCAGCCAAGGCTGTGCATATACTAAAATTGGATTACGATACAGAGAAGATTAGCATGGCCCTCGCGCAGAGATGACACGCAAAATCGTGAAGCGGATCCAATTTTTCGATTTGTAAACAAAAATACAAAAGCAAGACGCATCCAATCTGACAGCCAAATTCGTGAAAGGGAAGAAATTACCGCAGAGAACCAATTTGACATTTCAACCTCCAAGTCAAAAGTAGTTATCACGCGCGTCATGTCTACCGCGGCTCGTGCTCACATGATTTTCAGTCCTCCTGTCAGCTGCAGCAGGCAGTAGACGAGCGCGCCGAAAAACTCCGAGTCGTGGTTCCCGGAGCCGAAAACCAGACTCCTGAAAGGCGGAGCGAGGGAATCAGAAAACTGGGACAAGACACCGGGATAGCGCTGTCGTCTCTCAGAAAAAAAACGAGCTCACGAAGTAGGCTACACGTTTCGAACAACATTTATGTCCTCGACGATTTATCAGGAAAACGAGAGTTGATTTAGAAAAGAAATAACACGCAAACAGACACGGAAATGTAACGCTAAAATAGTTATCGTTTTAATGATTGGCCACCTAATTTCCTCATTTAATCGAGTTCAGCACTTAACGACTGGCCACGGACTGTACCACCTCACCAGCTATGATTGGCCAGCGGTTTCAACCACCTCACCTATGATTGGTGAGCGTGTGCAGCGCCTCCAGGACCCTCAGCTGCTCGCCCACGGAGTCGGTGGGACGACTGAGGATATACAGCACCGCCCGGTTCAGGCAGTGGTACACGCTGTCCAGAGGGAGGGTCTGGGACCAGCGGCGAGCCTGACCGATCAGCTTGATGATGAAGTCGAGTACCTCGTGGGCGTCACGCTTGAAGATGCCTGCGGTGAAGAGAGAGAGAAAAGGCGGTGAAGGAGGGAGTTGATAGGGTTAACTTTATAGGAGCATAAGTGCATCATTGTGATTAACATTATCTTTAGGTGAGTCGGACACGTCGTGTATATTGAGTAATTGAATACTTATTAGTTATTACTTATATTTACAATTTATGCCATAATGCATATTGAACTAGCTTTTGATCATGTGTGTACTAAACAAATCGTCTACTAGGCACCCACGTCACATGACTAATTTACTTATCATTTACTTCACTTACCCCTTCAAACCTACGTCCGCGGCCGTGTCTGTTTCATCCCACAGATAGCTCTCCTCTATGTGCTAAATGTGCTAAATGTGCTAAACTCACCTTGCCAGAGTTTGTGTTGTGCCTGTTAATCCCACAGATATATCTCCTCAATGTGCTAAATGTGCTAAACTCACCTTGCCACAGCTTGTCCACCAGTCTGCCGGCGAAGTAGAACACATTTCCGGGGACGTTCTGGACGCTGCCTCCCGGCGAGATGGGCAGAGCGGCTGTCGGAGAGAGAGAGAGAGAGAGAGAGAGAGAGAGAGAGAGAGAGAGAGAGAGAGAGAGAGAGAGAGAGAAGAGAGAAGAGAGAAGAGAGAAGAGAGAAGAGAGAAGAGAGAAGAGAGAAGAGAGAAGAGAGAAGAGAGAAGAGAGAAGAGAGAGAGAGAGAGAGAGAGAGAGAGAGAGAGAGAGAGAGAGAGAGAGAGAGAGAGAGAGAGAGAGAGAGAGAGAGAGAGAGGTCAGTACCAGCGCAGCTCAACCAGCCCTTGGCTTATCAACCGTCATCATCAACCAGCTACTATTAAATCATAAATTATTTGTGACGGCTTGAACAATTATGGTTCCTTTTGTCTACCAAATTTCGTTTAGCATTTCCATTAAAACTATGTCATGGGCTGTGGAAGAGTCGGAATATTCCGACACCCGAAAACAAAAAGCACCACAAGCAGCTCCCTGGAGGCACCAGACACGCGGGGTACAGCACACCGCGGTCCGATCACCAATTAGCCTCAACGCCCATCAGCAGCTGAGTATAACCGACATATCACACTCCATAAAGGATAAAGGATACAGATGCAGTGCTCTCAGCAACGGCTGGGCGATGGAGGCAGTTGGAAAGGTGATGTTGAAATTCACTCTTGAGACTGTATTTACATCCCCAAATCACTAAATTCAAAACCAAGCCACAGGGCCAAACTGAAATCCTCCACCGCAAATCCCACAAGGCAATCACACGCCAACCCCAACAGCCACTGCTGACATTCCAGCAACTGTTCGCGAACAATCCACAAAAAAACACACACACATACATAACCCCCAGACAGTTCTCACACGTCCCAAAGACAGCTCGCAAACACCGAGATCAAATAAATAAATGAAAAACTCAAAGACAGTCCGCAAATCTCGCCGAAGCCCCGCTCAAATTCCAAACAAATCCCGCAGACACCGCAGACATCCCGCAGACACATACAGGACAGCGGCCACGGCAGCAGACAACGACTGAGAACCACGGCCATTCTGCCCAGACACGGAGCGGGCGACGACACCGGCAGCGTCCCGGGGGTGGCACCTTGAAACCGGGCACGTGGCGTCACCGGCAGATTTAGGAAATCCATGGTAAATATGTGTTGAAATACTCCGAGGTCATGTCCGGAAATTTTTATTTGCCCAAGGTATAATTCCGAATGGCACTTTCAAATATGGAAATATTGCGCTACTGTCGTGTCTTTTTTCTAATAAATTCCACAAACCAGTCGCCAGACTATCAGTTTGTCCGCAAAGGTAACAATCAGGCAGCCCCGGAAACGTTGTTGTCTGCGCTGGGACGTCATCCGGCGACTCTTCTCTTACCTTGTTCTCCGATGAGTACGTCGGCTGCTGTGAGATGATCCATAAGCAGCGAGAGAATCTTGGTCTGGAAGGACATCTGCTGAGCCAGCGTGGTGCTCTCCGGGGTCACCTGGCCACGGGGGACAGGGTGAAGGACAATTCTGACGATGTCATTGACATTTGATCCGACCCGACCGGAGGAGACTCAGCCTGACCAAAGGTGACATGTAAAACAGAATAAATCTGGCCTAGTTGGCCTTAAATTATCCAACAGAATGACGGTCACCCAACCAGAAGAGAGTTGGGGTTATCTAAGCTGATACGAAATGACCTCAGTGTGACCTCACCATGGGTGTTGACCTCACCTCCAGCAGTATATCGACCAGCGGCGGCGCCGTCTTGCTCGGCGCCAGTGATAGAGAGTCGACAGTGACAATTCTCAGCAGATCCAGCACGTATTTACTGGCCGGGTGGGACGTCAGCATGGCGTCAGAGGCCTCTGCGCCGCTCACCAGCACCGCGTCACCCAGACCCATCTGGTGGCGACACCGCAAACTTCAGTTACATGGCCCAGCCGTCAGGGGGCCACGTAATTGATCAATTATTTATTTTTTGTCCGATAAATCCTTCGTTTTAACCACTGACGATATCTCTAGATCAAAGACCTTCGTACCGCAGCAGTTTTCATTTACCAATCCCACAAAAATATTTTGTGATCCTTCCCTCAACCTCAATCATCGACCAAACATATTCAACCCTACCTAAATTCCTTAGCTGCCGCTCTCCTCAGAAACATTTCTTTCACTTCAAAATATATCGTGCATCCACTTAGCCTCCTAATACCCTATCGGTAATCTTTTCTCTCTAAAAAGTAAAAACCTTTTATTTCCCCACAATTGTCTCCCTTCTGACCCTGGACCCCCATCCACCCAAATCTATCTATCTTCTCTCCCTCCCATAGCCCCCCCCCCCCCACCACCACCACCACCACTAACCGTGTCATCCAGTGGGGTGGTGGGACTGCTCTCCGTTCCCACTCTGTACGGGAACAGGGTACCGGCCAGAACTGTCAGAACCTCCACCGACATCAGCACGGGCCGCATCTCCGTGCAGTGGTGGTAGAGGTACAGCACGAACTGCAGCAGCGTCAGCGGCTGCTCCGAGCCGCTGAGGAACAGAGGGGGCGGGGCGGGGGTCATAAAGGGTCACCAAGGGTCATGTAAGGTGACGAAACCGCCAAGAATGGCACAAAGATCGTCAAAATTGCGGCATAAGGAACCATGCAGGACGTCGTGAAAGGAGTCGCGATAGCATCACGAAAGCTGTCACGAAATGCTTCACATTGTGAAAACGACGTAACGCTGGGACGTTGAGAGATGAGTCAGTTCAGAGAGAAGGAAATATTAAACGGATAATTCAATTAAGCGGTAGGTCATGGGTGACATTTATCACTCAATATTTGCTGCATAGTTAGTTCATGGGTGGTAGCTAAGCTTGGGATTTATATTTATTTATTTATTTATTTACGATCTTAAGCCTCCACATGGTGGGTTTTAAAGCTTGCGTCAATATACATTGAAGCATCATGTATGGTATTGGTACCTACTTACAAATTATGATCACATGGTTTCTACATACCTACATATTATTGTCACCGCACAAGAATCACAGCCTAACTATAAAACATTGTACCTCGCGACGCGTTCTACAGATTAATACACAAAGTTGATACAGAGTTAAAATGCAGTCATCACAGTGCAGAAGCTCACTTTGATCGCAGTCTCGCACGACACGTGGCGACAGTTACTGGCTCCCTGACAGCATCAGAGGCATCGTTCCAGCTCATAGCGGCCCGGAAACAAAAGTGCCGCCGGGCCCGCTCAGAGCGCACCTGGGGCAGCTCCAGGTGACCCGCCTCCGTAGCCCGGGTACAGCGGCTTGACACCTCACTGCGCCGTGTTAGCAGCTGTTTCAGTCTGACAGGAGCCAGATGCGAGTGTGTCAGCTTGTGGACGGTAATGATATCTCTCTCGCGTATGAGGGAGTCCACGCTCTGCCAGTCCAGTTGGGCTAGAAGTGGCGTAACGTGCGTCCGACGTGAACAACCCGACACGATCTGCGCGGCATGGTTTAGAATTTTCTGAACCCTATGTCTTTGGGTTTTATTACACCCGCCCCAAACAGTAGCGCAGTACAAAATGTGTGGGAACACCAGGGACTCGACGACTAGTTTTTTGACCGAACTCGGCAGCCGATGGGAGAATTTTGAGAGACCTGATAAGGTGCTGTAGCACCGGCGCACCACTAAGGACACGTGGTCCACCCACTGTAGGCGCGAGTCGAGCACCACTCCCAGCACCTTCACCTTCTCACATGGCTGAACTACTGCACCGGCAAACTGGATAGAAAAATCGGCTCCGTGATTTTTTCCGAACATGATCAGTTCTGTTTTTGACGGGTTTATCCTCAGGCTGTTTTGATTGTACCATGCCTGGACCACCCCGAGCATGACCTCTAGGTCGGCTGCGTGTTCTGCGATACTGGTCTGTCCACAGGTATTAATGAATTGTGTGTCGTCCGCGTACATAATCAGTCTGCCGCACGGTACGTGAGACGGAAGGTCGTTGGTAAAAACTGTAAAAAGTATCTGATTGTATCTGAGCAGATATATGTAATACTTTTGTAGCCTATTTTTGTGATTCGTGTTAATTTTTGTAAGTTATCTGTGTTGCTGCTATTTGATAAAAATGTTTTAATGGGATGGATAGGAACAAAATGAGCGCGTAAGAACCTGACCAGTGTTCTATATTTCTGTCCTTCACTGCCCTCGATTTCGTGAATCATCGATCAGACGGCCAGGCCACCCAACCCGCACGGTTGATATGATGAGCAATCTGGCCATTGTTCAGTGCGGACCCTCATATCGATGGACAGGATGAACAGCAATGGATGATCAATAGGCTGTCCTAGACCCTAGTGTCCTGCCTCGATGTCCGTGCTCTGTTTCAAATTTTCATCGTCCTGTCCTGCCATGAGTCCTGCCAACGCCCTGCCCTGTAGAGTGATAGCCAGATAGCTCAACGAGCTGATAAGCAGCCTTTGCAACTTCGCGCCATTCGGCGTCAGACCGCCATCCCAGCCACACATGTACGAGACACCGCTCTTGTCCGTAGCTCAATGCAGCTACGCATTATGGGGATTATCCCCTCAGTTATTACACTGTTGATTGTGACGACTGTCAGCCGGCATGTGGTCTCCGCCACCGACTGTGAAGAGTCCAACTGCGAGTTTGTTGTACGGGAAGAATGCCAGACCTCCGAGACAGTGTTCTGCGACATGAAAAACCGGCCAATGAAACAGGTGAGTGGAGGCAGATAGATATGGTGATGAGTGATGATGATGATAATGATGATGATCGATGCTGAAGGTGATGATTGATGCTGATGATTTTTTTTCTTTAAGTTTATCCGAATGAATGAATGGGTCATGGGTGACTATGGGCCCGGGTGCCCCGCTAAGCAGTGCTTGTTGCGAATGACACCACGGACCCACCACCCGACCTTGCCCGCGCCCGGTTCACCGGTGATAATTTGGATCGAAAGTTTAACGTGCCGCAGGTAGATGGCGGCACGGTCCTCCCGGGTCTAGCGTGGCCCTCTCTCGCCAGTTGCCAGCTGGCTGAATATAGGAATGCGGGTCAAACGACGTGGAGCTTCCCGGCCGCGAACTCGCTGCCACCGAGTTAGGAGACGGACGCCTTATCCACTGAGCCACGGGGATGATTGATGGCGATGCTGATGATTGATGCTGATGCTGATGATTGATGATTGATGCTGATGATAATAATTGATGCTAATGATTGATACTGATGCTGATGATGATGATTGGTGCTAATGATTAATGTTGATGCTGATGCTAATGATTGATGCTGATGCTAATGATTGGTGCTGATGCTAATGATTGATGCTTATGACTGATGCTGATGATGATGGCTGATGCTGATAGTGACGATTCATGCTGATGATGATTGTTGATGATGATGATGATGATGATGATGATGATGATGATGATGATGATGATGATGATGATGATGATGATGATTGATGCTGTTGATTGATGGCTGATCTGATGGCTGATGCTGATGATTGATGCTGATGGCGGTGGCTGATACTGATGATGATGATGATGATGATAATAAAAATAATGATGATGATGATGATGATGATGGTGATGATGCTGATAATAAAAATGATGATGATGATGCTGATGCTGATGATGATGATGATGATGATGATGATGATGATGATGATGATGATGATGATGATGATGATGATGATGATGATGATGATGATGGCAGATGGTTCATGTCTGTTCCAGATAAACATCACGGCAGCATCGTTCCCGAGAGATGCCCGAGAAATCAAGATAACCGATGTTGAGACCATAACGATCGATGAGGACTCCATCTCCTCTCTGACATCGCTGGAGGAAATCGAGATCACCAAAGTCAACACCTTGATTCTTCAGCCCAGGTCTCTGGCGCGCGGCAACAACTCCGAACGGATTACAGTGAGAATACGCGCAGTGACGAGTCTTCAGCTGCGTTCCCAGACATTCCAAGACTTGAGCGGGGACTCGAGGATCATCATAGAAGACGTGGATGACTGCCAGCTGTTCTCGTCTTCCATTGCTAACGCACAGTTTTTCAGCTTGACATTGAGCGGAATACAATCACTGGCTGTTCATGAAAGCGCCTTCAGCGATGATTCTCTGATAGAAAAAGTTCACATGACAGGTATAAAATCACTTTCGATATCAAAACAAGCATTCACGTCAAATGTCACAGTGCACAAGACATGGATTGAAGGCATCGAAAACCTCACCATACACTCAGGTGCACTGTCCCAAAACTCGAGAATGAAGGAGGCCGAGTTGAAAAAAGTGAAGTATCTCAGCGTTGAACCGCATGGCATTCAGGCAAACATTGACAAGTTGAAGGTAAAAGAAGTTGAAATGGAAACGTGTGGTGAAAACACGTTCGGGGGCAAGATTGGAAGTTTATCCCTGAGCTCGTCGCATATCCATCGGGCTACAGAACACTGCATATCAGCTGGCAGCGAAATGAACAAACTGATCATTGAAAACAGCCGCTTTAACCACACTGAAACATCGGCTTTCTACGGGACGGTCAGGGAAGTTCAAATCAAGAACAGCACATTCGGAGCGATAGAAAAGGAAGGGCTGCAGCTGAATGTTACGAAGTTTTCCTTTGAGTGCAGCGATATCGTTGAAGCATCAGAAAAAGCATTCGTGGTGCTTGCTGACAGCGATATCACGATCAGGAACTGCACGATCAATGCTGTGCGAAAGGAAGCCTTCAGCTCGCTAAGGGTGGCGAAAGGAAACGCCACAGCTCGCCACCGGATTCAGCTAGGCAATCTCCACATCCAACATCCAGATAACGGTTCGCTGCAGTTTAGCCAGAACCAAAGAGTAACAGTGCATGGCCTGACATTGGACATTCCCTGTACGTGCGACATAGCGACAGCACTGGGTCTCGATGTATCTTCTGAGAACGACTTCTGGATCAACGAGACTCTTTGCGAGGTCAATAACACACGGTGGAAACTAGACGAATACCTGGAGGAGTTCTGCACGGAGCCCACCACCACTCCGCCGCCTACTAGCCCGACCAACTCGCACAGAGGAGGCAAATCGTCACTGCCGCCTCAGACAGCCGGTGAATCAAATGAACAGGACTCTCAAACAAACCGTGAGGCCAGTGACCAGACTCCCGGCGATGGCTCAGACCAGACGTCCGGCGATGGCTCAGACCAGGTTAGCACCGGCTCCACCGACATGGAGATAATGATCGCCACCATCAGTGTCGCGGTCCTGATTGCGACAGCTGTCATCGCATTTTTCGTTGGTCGTCATTTCAGACAACGGTCGCGTGCTGAAGGACAAAATGGAGGCCGACGTAGGCGAACAAAATGTCGACGTCGCTCGCGAGATGTTAGACTCCATCAATTGACAGAGATTGTCACAAGAGCCCTGCTGGAATCCCCTGAAACTCGGCCTACTCACGGAGTAGACTCAATTCGACCGATCGGCGCGCCGGTTTACGAGGTAGTCGAGCCAGTCGACATCAACTCTCACACACCAGATCAAGGTGTTCCAACAAGCCAGGCCAGTGCAGGGCCAGCCGGGACACACAACACACGTGTAACACATCCAGAAAGGAGAGCTCAGCACGTCTCCTTTATGCCTTTACCGCCACCTCCGCCAACGGAAGCGCTTGAAGAGTGTGCGCACGGTCACGAAGATGATGCTGATGATGATGTATATGAGACTGTCGAGGCGCCTTACCAGGAAATAGCCGAATGTCATCAACAGATGGAGGAGGGAGGGCCCGCAACACTCGAGCTCGCCTCTCTCACACCCTCCCTCTGCCACTATCACCGGCTCAACCCAACCCAACATCACCACCAGTGCCTGGAATCCACGACACACTATGACCATCTCATTCACCCACCATGACCTACCACCGTCACCTAGAAAGCCCAGCGGGCGAATTCCAACTCGCCTGGTAAGCCATAGAAAAATGTACGAGGAAATAGGGTATATTTTGTTGCAAAAGATCCGCTCTGAGCCGTGACCCTCCGGCTGACCCGAAGCTGGTTCTTTAGCTCCGCAGTATAGCTCAGTGCTCAGATGAATCGTGTTTATCTTAATCTTAGCTGCAGGTACAGCCCACCGCTAAAGTAATGTGTACCAATCTCAACGGATGGCTTTGACTGGCGATTTATTAATGCAGAGCGATCGAAAAGAAGACGTCAGTAGATAAAGTTGCAGCTGCAAGGGTGACGATACAGGTTAGCTACAATCAAAGTTTCATTCCGGTCTGGCTTATCATTCCTAAGCTTCAGAAGCAGAACATACCGAGGACTGAAACCGCACATTACTTATGCCGTGGACTGTACCTACCCGTATATTTTGTGTGTCTATTGTGGCCTGTTGGCTGGTATTAAAGTGTTTGCCATAATACATATATTTGCTTACGATGGAGGAGCGGCTATGGGAATCAACAAGTGACGATCACAGTCGTATGGGAACTTAGTGAGAGCATTTTGACCTGACAGCGTCCTGTCTTGCCCTGGCAACATTGGTCTCGATTTTATGAATCCTTAAGTTCTTTGAACCCGCGCCGTGCTTGTGGTCTGAACTTTCCGCCGAGTGTTGGGGGGGGGGGGCGTTTTCAACCCCCCCCCCGTCTAACTCGGCTCCTGGGACACGTGGTGACACGCGGTAAGCGCCAATCGAAAGAGCGTAAAAAAATAAGGAAGAATTTCTTCCTTATTCTGTTTTCTTCCGAAGAAAACAGAAACACTTCGGTCATTTTTAAGGTCAGGTCAAAGGTTTGGTCGCCAGACGTCACCAAAGGTCAAATTTTGTCGATTTCAACAATTTTGAAACACCCGACGGCTAAGTTGTGAACCAATAGAGCTACAGCGCCGCGGAAAAGCGCATTCGATGGATTTTAACGTTCTTTCGCTAACGCGTCCTCAGATTTGACCTCAGATCAACGGTTTAGCCTCCAGAGGGTAAAGATCCTATCAGAAAAGTATGTGCTCATAGGTATACATATACCTCGGGAATATGAGCTGTCAAATGTGAACGGTTGGCATGGTGGTGAGCTGATGGGAAGCCACACTTTAAGAGTGAGTTGTGTAGGTTAGGTAGGTACGGTACATGCTATTCTGAGATACAAGAATACATTTTGGTAATTATTTCGGTAGTCTATATGCACTGCAGCTTGCACGCCTGAGTCGCCAATTTGTAAACGATATTTTTATGAAGATCACAAAGTGCGCCCGAAAAAGATCGTTTACATTGCAGAATTTGGGTGTAGGTAAAATCACCTTGCAACAAAATAATTAAGAACTGTAGCCTGTAGCGGTCAGATGATTTGATTGCAGTCTAAAGTTGATTTACTTTCCGGTGCTATCGAAGGTGTGAACTGATTTGTATTCAGCTTGACGAGGATTGCTGCACACGGTAGTACCCTGACGTCAAGACTACCAGGCGCCTGCAGGGGCCCCAGGGCTTATCCAAATACACTCAAACTCAAAGCCTTCAGACCATTTCACCATCCGATGGCATGTCTACGATAGGAGTGCTGTGACTCATGCACTAACAACGCAGATTGGTAGAACCCTCGATTTCAATCGTAGCCCGTAGGTTTATAAAATGATGCCGGAAGGCCTACATACGACAAATTGACTCTTTAACTCATTAACTCTAAATTCTTTAAAGTTTCATAAAAAGACCGTACTAAATCCATCACTTTACTTCTTGAACACCTGATTAAGCAAAGCCGAATCTCCATCAGCCCTATAAGTGGAAATCGTAAAACCAATATCTAAGGACGGCGATAATAAGCAAGTGGGTAATTACAGACCAATTAACATCTTACCGTTTAAAAATTATTGACAAACTTATATATCGAAGGCTCATTGACCATCTTCACCGAAACAACATTATTCACTGTAATCAATTGGGTTTTCAAAAAGGAAAGTCAACTTATACGCCAATTCTTCTTCAAGATATAATTACTAGAGCTTTCGAAGAGGGCCACTTTCGTTCGGCTTATTTCTAGAAGTAAAAAAAGCTTTTGACACCGTGCACATTGATTTGCTAGTTGCTACTGCAAAAACTACAAAGGTATGGTGCAAGACACAAAACAAACCACAACAAAAAATTATTTTCATACTTGCAAGAAAGGAAGCAATGTGTGAAAATAAGAAAATCATACTCATCTGTCAAAAATGTTACTATGGGAGTTCCACAGGGATCGATATTGGGTCCTCTGTTATTTATTTGATATACCAGTGATTTATCAAACATCAGTCCTGACGTAGCTTGCCTCTCCTATGCAGATGACACTGCCATTATATTTAAAGATAAATGCATACATAGCCTACAAAGAACTGTAAATGAAGTTACTAAAAAAGTCAGTAACTGGTTTCATGCAAACTTCCCTTCTTGAATGGTTTTTAGCACAGTTTTGAGAGACATGAATATAATAAGAGATATTAACCTTACTCTCATATTAGCCAAAAGATATACAATTTCAAAAAGACAAAATACAGTTTCGGGAGCTTTCGGCTTTGCGCCTTTATCAACCGTTATGTATTATTTAGATCATTTTCGTCACAAACTTGCATGGAACAGAAAATTCGAATTGGTACGAACATGCAGAAATCACACACGCACTTCCCAGCTACTCTTTAAAAACGCATCTATGCAAAACTTACAGAGACATAAAAGATTTATCATGAAGTGCAGAACAAGATAGTCATGTCGAAAACATGAGTCATACGTTCAGCGGAGATAGTATATATCGTGGGTACATCATCAATAATGGGTCCCGATCCCCCGACCAACATTAAAAATATGGAGATAAGCATATATGAGGTAAGTACATGCATGCATACGATAACAGAAGTGTACAACAGCACAACGCACACCCGCGCACACAAGTTTCCACGGTCAGTCAGTTTAGATATAATGACCACTCAGATGATAGGCCAAGACGAGGTTTGCGTGTTAAGAGTGGGTTGAAGTTCGCGAATAAAAATGGATTCCCAAATTTTTCTATCTGGGCCGCTTCCATTCATTGATGATGCACTCAGCCACAGGATTGAGGGTATCATTAGGGCTAGTCACCTCAACCTGAAAGTTGCATGGAAAGGAGGTCCCAACCTGAAACAAAAACTAGTGCGGGCGGCCTACCAACCAGCACCCTGCCCAGGTGGGGGCAGGAAGTGTCCATGCTGTGAGGCAGGGTTGCGTGGGAGATGTCATGAAAAGAATGTGGTGTACCAGATGGAATGTTAACTGTGCGCACAAGGCGAGTCTGTGTATGTCGGTGAAACACGCCGATCTGTCAGGCTTAGATATAATGAACACATGAGAGATGCAAAAAACAACAAACTAGACACCCCTTTTGGCCTTCACCAAACGAAACACTCTGTGCAACTGGACTGCTCAAACGTCTCAATCAAGATTCTGCATGCGTCAAAAGACGGCCCAGATAAAAAAAAATTGGGAATCCATTTTTATTCGCGAACTTCAACCCACTCTTAACACGCAAACCTAGTCTTGGCCTATCATCTGAGTGGTCATTATATCTAAACTGACTGACCGTGGAAACTTGTGTGCGCGGGTGTGCGCCGTGCGGTTGTGCTGTTGTACACTTCTGTTATCGTATGCATGCATGTACTTACCTCATATATGCTTATCTCCATATTTTTAATGTTGGTCGGGGGATCGGGACCCATTATTGATGATGTACCCACGATATATACTATCTCCGCTGAACGTATGACTCATGTTTTCGACATGACTATCTTGTTCTGCACTTCATGATAAATCTTTTATGTCTCTGTAAGTTTTGCATAGATGCGTTTTTAAAGAGTAGCTGGGAAGTGCGTGTGTGATTTCTGCATGTTCCGTACCAATTCGAATTTTCTGTTCCATGCAAGTTTGTGACGAAAATGATCTAAATAATACATAACGGTTGATAAAGGCGCAAAGCCGAAAGCTCCCGAAACTGTATTTTTTTTGAAATTGTATATCTTTTGGCTAATATGAGAGTAAGGTTAATATCTTATTACAAACTTCCTTTCTATAAACGGCACAAAGACCTTCACACAACATATCTTCAGAGGGCCTCCTATTTGTCCAGGGGGCCTCCTGTTTGTACCGAGGGCCTCCTATTTGCCTAGGGGACCTCCCATTTGGACAGAGGGCCTTTTATATGTGCAAGGGGCCTTCTATTTGTCCAGAGGACCTCCTACTTGTCTATGGGACCTCCTGTTTGTTCAGTGGGCCGCCTATTTGTACAGAGAACCTCCATACATGAGCAGCGGGCCTCCATTTGCAAAGTAGCTGAAACGTCTCTAGGGCCTCCACTATCGGGGTCTCAAAACGAAAATTGGGGTCCCAGATGTTTGCATTGGGGTCCCACATGGGACCTCAAAAGCATACAAAGTTACACCCACGACGACAATCCAATTTACCAAAACCAATAACGACAGTCCACCCGCGCCAGGGTTTGCCGCGCGTGGAGCGACGCTCGGCCCCTGTGTGCCGGCGGAGAGTGGGCGGAGCCAGGTGGCTGACGTCATCAAAGTATGACGCACGCAGCACAGATCTATGCTGCACGGACCCGTACACCCGAAACAATCTGCGTGAGGCTGCGCGTTAGTCTCGAAACGCCTAAGCCCAATCATCCGGCGTAGGGCCGCAGTCCCCGGCACACTTACCATGTGATGGCACCCTTATCCACAGCTAAGTGCAGATCCACCGACCGATAAAGAGAACCGATGATGGATGACCACCGGGCGTCCTATTGCGTCATATTCCGTCCTCCGCAAAAGTCATATCCACCTCTTGAATGTGTCAACAAACCAACCAATGACAGCTCACCACGGACCGTGATAAGCAATATGTATAGCACCGCTTCAATGGCCGCCCTCAGGCCATTTGGCATCAAACCGCCGTCTCAGTTACACGTGTACGCAATTGTTGTTATAATTCACGTCTTCATAGCTCAGTGCGAACCATCAGTTCGTTGGAGATGGTTGAATGAACGATGATGGATGACCAACAGGCGTCCTGTCCCGTCCTGAACTCCGTGCTCCGTTTCAGTGCCCTGCCCACCTCAGGATCGCCCCTGAAAGCAAACAAGATAGTCCAACAACTGATAAGCAATCTCTGTGCAACAGGCGCTGCAAGTCATTCGTCGCCGTGCTGCTGTTACAGTAACATGAACGCGGTACCAGCCTTGTCCGTAACTCAATATAGCTACCCATTATGGGGGTTATCACCTCAGTGATCTCATTTCTGATTGTGTTGACCGTCGGCCGGCATGTGGTCTCCGCCACCGACTGCCGAGAGTCCAACTGTCAGTTTGTTGTACGGGAAGAATGCCAGACCTCCGAGACGGTATTCTGCGACATGAAAAACCGGCCAATGAAACAGGTGAGCGGAGGCAGATAG